TACGTTAGTGAAAAGAATGGAAGGCCAAAGCGAACAGACGCGGCAATCATTGATCGCCGTGACTATTCGCTCCAGCGGGCTTAAGACGGAGCTCACCTGTTGGATCTGGCGGACGTCGACGGCCATCTGCCGCAACATCTGGTTGTAGGCCTCGGGGCTAGGCAGGTGGTGAGTTGAGTCGACAAGCCATGGGAGAGACCTTGACGGACGGCATGAACTGCCGCCAGTCGATGGCAGGCAGGTTTGCTCCCGAGACAGCTGATTTGGTGACGGCTGATGGATGGTTAGCGTGGTTGAAAAGTCGCGGTAGCCGTCTTGGGCGTCACTCACGGTTGGTGTCTTGGGGGCGGGGGCTCTGGTCGGGCGCGGACATGGTGGTCAAAAGGCAAGAGTGTCTCGTACTAGGGAGACTCTCGACCCTGAAAATTGAGGGCATTTATATGGTGAACATGCCGGAAGAAGTTTGATCGCGGCAGATCACGGAAGGAACCGAACAACCAAATGAATAAGACGTGGGAACATAACTCTATGTCTCCGCGGCTTTAATAATAAATAAACGAGACGTCGACTGTTGGACTTAGACCTGACGCAGTGAGACTGTCGCGGGATTGACCAGGAGGTCAAAATTAGTGTTCCTGGGAGATGATAGGCTGGCTACCAGACGCGCTCTGCACCAGCTCTGTAAGGGCGTATTTTTGCGCTTTTTACAGAGTTTACTCTTGAACCACTCGGTGTATCGTGTCGCGGTTAACAGTGTTGCGCTCAGTAGGACTTATGGGTCTACTGCCCAGTCGACGACTGTGGATAGTGTCGACGATAGCAAGGCAGTCAGACCACTACTGTGGAACTGGTCTTATGAGTCTACACCAGGCTCAGGGCCATTAGTGACGAACGCTTGGACCGCGACCATTCCCCAAAAAGGGATATGTCGTTGCGTCGACTTCTCAAAAAGGGTCATTCTCTGCAGATGGGAACTTGGGCTGAAGGGCTGAGCAATGCGCGACGTTCTCAATAATAGAACTACTACTGGACAGGACTTGGCGTTACAAGACTTAAACCATCTTGTCGCGGCAACTCCCGGTTTTGAGTTGGACGTTTCCTCAGATCATGCCACAACAACGACTTGTCACATGTCAGGATCCATTCAATCACGGGACATTGTGGACGCGTCGCGGTGACACTTCCAAGTGTCACGGCAAGTCGCGCCCATACTCAAACACACTAAAATCGATACGGCTAGATCCGTGAACCGAGCCATGTGGGAGACGATTGGCGTGCCTAGAGCCATACGGCTTCTTGGGGCGCCCACGTTGGTCTCACATGCCAAGACATACCCGTTGGCCAATCCAGCACGTCGTATTCCAAAAGTATGACGCGGTGAGTTGGCCCACATCAAAAGTATCATATGGACAATGGGGCGGGGTCCTGATCACTCAGGACCTGTCTGATCGTTCAACTTTTCAATTACCCTAAAAGGCAACCGATCTTAGATAGCGTAGCTACTATGCAGTTGTACAGGACTTTACTAAGCAGCGTCGTAGACAGTATAAGTAGCACGTCGTCTCTTTGTATTAAAAAGCTTTCCCCTGGACTGTGAATCACTCTCATTTCAGATTGTTTTGTACAATTTGCGTGTCGCGTGATTCCACCCTAAGAAGTTCTGCCATCCCTGCCCGGTCGCGACGAGTTGCTCCCTGAGCACTTGTAGCTACTGTGATTTGAGTTTGAGTTGAGATATCAGAAAGTCGGATTCGCCGCATCTGGTATTGTCGCGGCATTTAGTGTCGTCGCCTTAGGGCTTTGTTGAGATCGTTCCACACCTCTAGCTTGGCAGTGCGTCGACTAGTGGTGCTCGGGTTGTTTTGGTCAGTTGGCAGTGCGTCGACTTGAGAACTTTGGTTCCACACTTCTTGCTTGGCAGTGCGTCGACAAGTTGTGCTCGGGTTTTGGACATTGGATATTGGCTGTTAGTTGGCAGTGCGTCGACGCGGCATCTTGGTTTACTAGTTGGCAGTGCGTCGACTCAGTACTTTTGGTTGTGTCAGTTGGCAGTGCGTCGACTTGACATTTTGGTTTACTAGTTGGCAGTGCGTCGACTCAGTATATTGGTTGCATCGGTTGGCAGTGCGTCGACTTGATATTTGGGCTTTGTGTCACCATCTAGACGCTGTCGCTACAAGGGATCTTAATACTTCGTATTAAGTTCTGACTTGTTATATTGTTTGTTTGTGGATTGGATTAGTGTTGGTTGTGTTCGTATAGAAGATATTGGTTGAGATACCATTGTTTGCTATATATAAATTCTTGTCGTCGACTTCGCCTCCGCGACTATTGGACCTGTGTCTATTGAGAGTTGTGATACTGGTGCTCTGTCCACCCCGAAGCCCTCGCATCTTTCACACACTGAGAAGCTGATTACGAGGAGTGTGAACGTGTTTTATATTTGGGTTTACTTTCATAGTAGATTCACTTGTGAGCACGCCCTCAGCATTTCACCGATTTTCACCGTTATGTTTTCAGACAAAATATATATATTGAAAATAGATGTCGATTTACAGCTTGATTTTTACCATGAATAGACATCTATTCCTCCCAAAAACAGAACTGTAAATAGATCATCTTTTTTTTGATCGATTTCCACTGGGAATAGACATTGATTTTCACTGAAAATAGAGACAAAGAAAAGATGATCTTTTTTCACTGAAAACAGATTAAAACCACTGGAAGAATCTGTTGATTCTGGCCCCAATTTGCATCCCTGGCCTTGCAAAAGGCTACTGGATGCTACTCACAACATGTTGGAATCATGCTGCAGGACTTGTGGTGTGAATTGGGGCCGGAATCAACAAATTCTTCCAGTGGTTTTAATCTGTTTTCAGTGAAAAAAGATCATCTTTTCTTTGTCTCTATTTTCAGTGAAAATCAATGTCTATTCCCAGTGGGAATCGATCAAAAAAAAGATGATCTACTGTATGTGAGGGTCTAGTTGGCCACCCTACCTAGTTGGCCACTTCAATTATTTAACATGAACCCTTGATTTTCCAGGCATTTCGTGTATGTAGGATGAAAGAGGGATGTCTAATACCGGTGTGACGCAAATCTGAGGTCACTGGGATGTGATGGTGATCTGTCAGGATTGATTGGTCATCGTGATCGGGAGGCACCAAGCAGATTCCTTATTTGGGTGGGCCTGGGCAGGCCGATTTCTTAACCGATTGCGCTCCCACACAATCACCTCTGTACCATCCGCCCCTGTTGGGTGCACATTCGATAGGCAGGAGTAAAGGCCTTTTCAGAGGATAATGTAACCACATACTCAAACACATCCGCTCTCCACGCCGCGATCTTTCCCTGCTTGTGCTGCCTTTGTCATGCCATACGACCCTGATTCTTGTTGGGCATTGGTGACGAACGGCTCGTCAAATGCATGATATTTTGTGGATAGATGGTGTACTGAGTGTTGGAATAGCAACAGTAGCAGCGGTACTCTGGTATACGATGAGAAAGATGGACAGCAATGTGTGAGATGGCAGATTCCCACGCCCAGCCAACTAGCCCGGTTGACCCGGTTTGGCAGTCGTTGCGGGAAAATATTCATTGATCAGGAACCACGACTAATAAGCACAAGCGGCGACTCGCACGTTGTTCTCAACAGGGTAGGTCATGTTTCTGACCCATTGGATATGGTCTTAGGGTATCATATTGTGTGTTACAGAGCTAAAGTCTCTTAGGTGGCCAACTAGACCCTCACATACAGTATTTACAGTTCTGTTTTTGGGAGGAATAGATGTCTATTCATGGTAAAAATCGAGCTGTAAATCGACATCTATTTTCAATATATATATTTTGTCTGAAAACATAACGGTGAAAATCGGACTTCTAGATTGTCACGCATTGGGCTGCCAAATTTACTTTGGAAAACAGCCCCAGACCTTGCTCATATTGTTGGATTACAACAGGCTTCTTTTATAATCCACAATGGACCAACTGATCCTGTCACCCACCCGCTTCATGCCAGCAAATTGGCAATGCAACATCTGTTCCAACCACTCCCTCGAGTTGCTGCATGGCCTGGTCAGGGTGTGGATTTGAGATTTCGGGAATATGTTACACCCTAATTTCTTTGCATCTGCATGTTCTTTTGAATTGCTGTCCTTGTCATTCAGATGGATGCACTATATCAACAACAAGTGGAGAGGTAAATGCTATGCGCACATTGATGGTCACTTCCTCATTCATTCTGTTTTCTAATCCCCAAGTAGGTCCAAACAGGTCCGAACATCGGCTCATGACCTCTCAAACCACTGAAGGAGACTCAATTGTAATGAATTTAAGTAGAAAGTGGATGCATCATTGTCGGGAGGAGACTCTAGCGGATGAGCGATGAAGTCAAAACCTCAGTCACAAGTTGCCAGTTTTGCGCAGACGTCTCACCATTGGGTGAACACTAGCTTTGTTGTCCGGAAAAGGCAACTTTGGCTAGCCGATATGCCCGCTGAGTGGTATAGCCCCGGGGAGCGGTCCTCGCAGTTGCGGTGCGCGGTGCCTCGATTTCGGCCAATTTGGAGAGCTCGGGTTGTCGTGTCCAGCACTACACACTGGCCCTGTTTTACAAAAAGACCTCCTGTTAGAGGCTTTGATTTTTTGTAGAAGAGCCTCTAGTTTAGAGGTGCGTATTTTATAAAATGTTAGAACAATTCTCGCTTACCTGCCACGGCGCCCAGTCCACCTCCCACATCATCTATATTTTGTGTGTGTTTGTTCGGGATCGATCATGGCCTGTGATTGCTATCGGATACCCTTCACCAACGTTGCGCACAGCGAGCTCGCTCTCACGTCATGATCACTGATTGCACATCAGAAACAGCCATGGATCAAAGCTGCCGTCAATATGGCCCACAGCGATCAAATGCCTTTGGCGTTGCCCTCAACAATGATCGTGAAAAATAGAAATTGAATATAAAAACAATGATTACGCTAAAATAACGATGTCCCTCTGCTCAGATGTCCGTCCCCTCAGCCGCAGAGGCTGTATCGCCGTTTTCCACTTCATCACGGTCCTCAATGACAGGGATGATACCTGCGCGACCCCACTCAATCCAGCTCGCGCACGATCTCCACATGTGACAGAATTTCTCGCCTCGCCGGTCATGGATCCGAGCTTGCTTTTCTGCGTAGGCGTGCATGGCTTCGTCCAATGCTGTGCCCAGCTCCTCTGCATCGCAACCGCTTGATCGACCCCGCCACCACTCTGCCCTCCACTTCTGGAATGCTAGCACGCGTCTCATCTCTTCCTCAAGCAGATCCACCTCCTCCCGCCATCTTCCAGCTCGAGCCCGAGCCTTTGCCCACTCAACACAAAGTGCGGCAGTCAGTAGCTCCTGTTCTACTACTTGGTCAGACAAAGGCACATCCGCTGAGCCAGCCGGGCGTGACGCTCCCTCTGGTGCAGACCGCAGGCTTGCGCGCCATATCCAAGACATCTCCTTGGACAGTTGGTCGGCCTCCTTCTCTTGAGGTGTTAGCGTTGCCTGCTTTTTCAACCTCTTCTTCCGTTCTGGATCTGAAAACAGTGCACGTGGCATTCCACGGACATCCCTCGCATCGAGCAGTTTCAAGACCCTTGACCATGCACTTTCATCCACCAGCTCTGCTAATGCTTCCAGCGCTGATCTTGCGGCCCGGTATTCATCGGCGGCACAATCAATCCGCTGCTGGATGTTGTCCAGCAAACCTTTCGCCCGTGTGTTGGCGGCCACTCCGAAAGCGTGGCGATCCTTCGCATGGTACTGGTGCTTCTGAACAAGCAGCAGGCGACAAACTTCTTCTAGACATTCATGTGCTCTTGCTTCTCGCATGTCAAACTCGTACCGTGCACAGGAGCGTTTCACGGTGTGGCGGGATCTAACGACCAACTCCGATGGTAGCCAGAGCTTTGCCGCAAATGCTGGCGCTGGGGGAAGGGGTTCCATCCTGCTCTCAGTCGCAACTCGCGCGGCCTCGGCTTCACGAATCACACCAACCTCCGGCATGAAGGTTGCTTGTGTCACAAACCAACTTGAAATCTTCCGCCACAGCTTATTACCCCGCTCCAAGATCACCATCTTCTGTCGTGCAGTCACATGAGCCCCAAGCGACCCGGCATCACGAGCCAGCGCTCTCTGCTGTTCTCCCAGCTGCATGCCCATAGCAATCATCTCTGCGACGTGAATATCCCCACGGACCTCGTCACTTCCCTCACTGGCAACAGCAGCTTGCGTCTCTTCTGCAATTCGGCCCCGAACAGCGTGCAGAGAAGCATGCTTCTCCCCGACCACAAACGGGTTTGGTGCAGATGCGTCCGTCTCCCACTTCTCCATCTGCAATGTCCACGTCGCCAGTGTCTCTTGCGGCAATGAATCCTCGATATCCTGCAGCTCATGCCTCCGATTCACCATCTCAGGCACAGCATCCTGGATGCGCTTTAGCAGGAGCTTGCCCATTCCCAGCACCTTCTTATGATTCCAATCGTTAAAGTGGTTATCGATATGATCTCGCCGTGATCCAGGGCCCATTTCACGAGTGCTTGCTGCCAATGGATTGGTGTTGGCCCATCCACGCTCTGGTGCTTCACCATCGGTACGACCGACAAATGGTGTAAGGTCGAACGAGTACTGGACATTGCACGCTTCAATGTGCGCTGGCAGATGGAACTTGGGGATTAACCACATATAGAACCGTTCACCAGTTCGGGCTCTCTCCTGAAGGCATGGCTGGTACTTTGCAAGTCTTCGCCAGATGTTGATGCTCCACTGACAGACAATGTCGTATGACACTACAAGTTGGACGAGGTCGTCATAGCCATCCAAGCTTTTCCAAAGCGCATAATCCATGTTGATATATCTGTCTATGCTTAGTCACAGATCAGACTGTACATTGAAAAGAACTCACCGCTCTCCCTTCTGTAGATCCACTACTCCGTTAGGGCGCTTCATGTTGTGACGCGCACAATCAACAGTCCCAATGCCTGATGAAGCAGTGCCACGAGATTCGCGATTTGGCTCGTTAACAGCATCATGCGACACGCAGCGACTTTTCTGTCTAAGCATGAGCCTCAGGGAATGCATCTCATCTCAGAAGATCCACAGACCTCCTGCTCCATATCCCAGTGACCTCGAACATGCTGCATATAGGCCCCGACCTCGCTGTAGAATGCACAGCCGCGGTTGAGATCAGGGTCTGCATGCTCAGATGAGACAGTTTTGCGCTTCATTCGGAAGTTTGCGTCGATTGCGACAAATAGCGCATATAGGAAACGAAGGTGGGGAGGCACCAAACGCCACGACCCATGTACAGGCAGATTCTTGCCTGGCTGCGGACAAGCTGGACAGAGCACAGCGCAGGAGCCAGCTGGACGATTTTGACAGCCTTTAGTCTCGTGAGCACGGCCGAATCGCTTCAGCATCTGGATGTGGGCCCATTCACGTGTCATTCGAAGAAACTGGCTGTAGCGATCCTATTTGCTGGTCAGAATCACCCGTAATCAAACTTTTCCAGGGCATAGACTCACTCGAGGCTGGTAGGAGCCGCTGTTGTTGGTCATGCGTGCCAATGCATTGTAGTACTCGTATGCTGAGCACTTTGTCTCAAAGGAGATCAGCTGGTACTCCCGCAGAACTTGGAATGTCGCAGCGCTTGCAGGCCTTAACGTTGTAGCAGGGTACAGCTTTGCCCGAAGCAGCTGGATGTGCCGAGCTGGTGCCCCGGGGCATGCACAGAAGTCGACATTCAGCTCGTGAATCCCATTTGTGTGGACAACACAGAACGTGCGCTCGCCTGATGCTCCCGTGAAAGCCTGAGAAGAGCTGGCGACACATGGCTGCCCATGCCGATGTCCAAGCTGAATGTGCAGGCCCAGCCTAGACAGTGTTGTTTGCTCAAAGCACACACCGTCCCACGCCTGCATTGGTTTAGTTAGTTACTGAGCCTGCGGACAAACAAGGGATCAACCTCAATGTGGTGCAGGGGAAGGTCTCCATGCCGATGCACAATGCACGCTGCGCAGAAGATACCGCCTGTGAAGCATTCTTTGCATCGGTAGGCACCTTCTTCGACTTGACATACTGAACAGAGGCTGGGACCAGATTCTGTGTAGTCACCTCGACCAGATGTGCGCACAAGCTCGTCCACAAAAGTCTCCATCTCCTCCCCCAGCCATATCCAGAGCGGGCGATCCTTAAAGAAGAGTCAGTGACTCAGACATGCACAGAGTTGTGATGGACAACATACCGTGTCTCTCGCCTTTCGTGGTTTGCTTTCCAGCGGATGCCCCTCATCAAACTCAAAGTCGATGCCAAGATACGACCCATCGGCGTCTAGGAAGTCTGGCAGCGGTGGCAGCGGTGGGTCTTCATGCACAAGTAAGCTTCCTATCCCACTCGTTCGTTGTCGTTTTCGTGGTGAGGATGCTGTGGGTACAAATGTCGTGCTGCGCTGCGGCTTGGGGCCTGCCACAAAAGCGTCATGCCTCATTGTCGGGCCAGCACGCTCATATGTCCTTGAAGATGAGCCTCCGACCACAGTTTCAATCTCGTCATCAGAGTCAAAAATATGTGTTGTCGCAGACAGTCGGGCTCGACGCCGTGGCATGGCGAGGAGGGATGTGGGTTGCACGTGACCAAGGAAGGATGCGTCAGCACGTGTCAGGTGCCAGCATTGGCATTTTAAGAAATATGCTTGATTTTGAGGCCACATCATATTATTGGTCTGCCAGGTACAGTAGTATACTGATCTAATCTACATATCCCCTTTGCGCACAGGCCTGGTGGCGGATTGCAGCTGGCGGCGCATGGTTGGTGGGGGGTGGATGATATGAGTTGGCTCCGCAGATTTCTTATTGCAAGGATGGGGGTCTACAGACCGGGCGGAGATGCGTGCAGAAAATCGTGCGCGTTTGAGAGGCGGGCTGTCTGAGGTGGATGCCTCAGCTCGTTGTCTTCGCGGCGCATGGCAACCAGTAGACATGCGTGCACTGGTTCGAGGGCAATTTGGATAACGGAAGGGGAGAAGTTCGACTGGGAGTTCTGCGACCAGGGCAGGATCCATCGCATCCCAAATGGAGTGCGGTAGTGTGGGCAGCACTGCCCGTGCTACCGCAATGACTAGGATGGGCATTGAGTTGGGGGCCAAATGTGTGGGCATTGACTCACCCTGCTCCGGAGTCACTGCTTTGTTGGTGGTCGGCAACACCGAGGGCACCGTGGAGAGGCCAACGCCTGGCAGGGTGCATTGGTCTTCAGCCATGGGGGATTAAGATAGGAATGTCGATCACCAATGTACCATGCCCTGGCCTTTGACAGTGTTGATCACACTGTTCTGCCGCCATCCATGTGGGTTTGATTGCCCGCCCCCTGGGATGCCAAGTAAGATGATTACATGGGATGCAATCCACAGATTCATAGGCGTACATTGGGTTTCCAATATGTTCTAGACGGAGCTTTATGACACAGTGGATATGGGTGGAGGACAGGGTAGGGAGACTACGAGGCACCTCGTGCCTTGGCCGACTCCAGCCGTACTTTTAATTGCGTATCCTCCTCTGCCAGGCCTCTCTCGTGCTGCTGAACCACATCCATCCACGAGTGGTCCGACGTCGGAATGTTGGGCGTCTCCCCTTTATTCATGTTTATCTTCAGTGTGGCCGCAGTGAGAATGATGCCCTAGGCCCTCATACGCGCCCGCATGACCTTCTGCGCGGTCGTTTGGTATTTGTCGTGGGAGATGATACCGCCGGCCAGTGCAAGAGACAGCGCGCAGCTGCCGATGATGATGAACTATCTGTGCCGGCTGGCCCAACCACCGAGTTTTTCTTTGGTAGACTACAATGATGTCAGCGGTGATTGTCCATGGAACCAGGACCAGGCACCATGTGTTTCCACGAAGTCAGCTGCTGCTCTTCGTGTCGCTCGATGAGTCTCGCGCCGCCGCCCTTCCTGTAAAGCAGGATCAGCGCTGATTGAGTACAAACAGGTGTGAAGAACGCACCATTGCGACATGTCGTACTCTAGGCCCCTTCGTTCCACCTCAATGGAAAGGGCGGGTGCGATGACGATGAGACCTCTGAGGAGTCTTAGAGATGGAGGCAGACTGCGATAGTACGTGGATCGACGCTGGGCTCAGTACAGCCGGCGCCGGCGATGGCGACCCCGTCAGTGTGCCTTGAAGCGCACCGCGGCGCGAGGCTGCGTTGTGGCCAGCAATCTGTTCTGGCGTGGCGAGCTGTCGAACGGCACGCAAGATGTCGGTGTCCCCCCATAGTCCTTGCAAAATGAGCGCAGCCAGCACGCCGTCATGGCGATTCAACCGGGCGTGTGTGTGCGTGGGTCAATCGGGGAGATGCCAACGGCAAGTCTAGGGGTGTGGATGGAGGTACGTCGAGCTTGGTAAGGCGTCAGGCAGTCAAGCTGGAGACTTTACGGTATACCCAGTTATAAATACCGGGCTCTACCGGGCCCCAGTAACAACAGCTCTCCGGCCTCCGACATGACGCAGAGCACGTGAACCCGGCTTTCTCCGGTTACTGATGTCACTTGAATGCGGGGACTGGCCTGCCCGCGGCGAGGAAAACCCCCAGGCGGACGGGTAGTCGCCGCACGACGGCATCGGATCGAAGCATGCGGCCAGGCTGTTGTGGGACTCGACGAAGTTGGCGAAGGGGTCCGGCGTGGGGTCGGCGAAGATCGAGCGCAGGAAGCCAGACGCCTGCACGGAGAGACATAGCATGTCAGCAGATAGCCCAAGCGATGGCACAGACAGGAGACTCACTCGCAGACGGTCGGAGAACTGGGCGCTGACGGCCTGCGGCTGGAAGCCCGATTGAGCACATGAATCCTGCAGGGCTAGCGTCGCGTTGCATCCAAGCATTGGGACAAGCAAGGTAGGCGACATCGGGCGCTGCTGCTGTGGTGCTACAGGCTCGAGAGGCAGATCGAGTGGAGAACGCGGCGCGGATCCAAACGAGGTGGGGGTGGCACTGGCGAAGATGCTCGGCACCTCCACCTTCATATAAGGCGGACGATGCTCTTGGGCCGGAGGCATTGACCGTACGACGAACTCGAGCACCTGGGGCTTCCCCACATCTCTTCGCTGATGCTGCTTCCTCCCACCGGCACCACCACTCCTCGCGCCGCCCTCGTCCCTGACTCTTTTCGAATTTGGTTGTCCCGCGCGCTGGGGCCGGAAGACATAGCCCGGGTAACGCCGCTCGTGCTTTCGCTTCCGCTGCTTCGCCAGCCCATCCCACTGCGTGCCTCGCTTCTGCTGCTTCGCCAGCCCATCCCACTGCGCGCATTCCTCCGGGGCCAGTGCGCTGGAGCACTTGGGGCTTCTCCACATCTCCTCGCTGATGCTGCTTCCTCCCACCGGTACCACCACTCCTCGCGCCGCCCTCGTCCCTGACTCTTTTCGAATTTGGTCATGCCGCGCGCTGGGGACGGAAGGCGTCGTTGGCGTTGACGGTGCGTCATATGAGAATCCCGAGCTCGGCGGCGAGGTCGAAGTGGAGGAGGATGCGAGAGAGGGGATCGACAAGGAAGAGGAAGAGGCGGTGGACCCTAACCCTTCAGATCGATCAATCAGATACTCTGAAGCGTATACCATGAAACCCACGACAGTCTGTCCTTGTCCGACCCAAGCTGATCAGCTCAGGCTCCACTGGCGAGCTGCATGGCGAATCTTGCCGCGAGTCTTTGAGGTTGTGTGAGGAGGGAAAGGTGAAGTGAAGCCGGTGTCGCTATCAAGTCGCGCGCTAGGGTTTGTTCCGTCAGCGGACTATGATCTCCTCCGAGCAAAGAAAGAGGACTCACCGACACCACGGGCAGCGCGTGTACTGGAACGGCGGGCAGACATCAGGGAGGACAGCTAAGGGACTCATGACCACGAAGGGATTTCCTGACACTACAGAGAACGCATCGCAGGCCGACAGATGCGTAGCTGTGCTAGGGCCAGGCTGCTTAGCCTGTGGCCGTCTCTGGTCCGCGCGTGGGTCCTCGAGTGTTGTCTGTGGGACATGTTACGGCAACCCACGCCGACTGCGTGCGGTTCAGGCTTTGAGGGACGGGGTGCTCACCATCGTCCGTCGCGAACTCACAAACGGACGATGGCTACACCTCGCCATACGACCGTGCTCCCCGCCCATCTAGCAACCCGCGTCGACGGCGTACGGCTCAGGCTTTGAGGGACGGGGTGCTCACCATCGTCCGTCGCGAACTCACAGACGGACGATGGCTACACCTCGCCATACGACCGTGCTCCCCGCCCATCTAGAAATAAGCCACGACGTAGCGCTTTGTGAGGACAATGTTGGGCGCTTGAGGACGACTCAAGGCAGGACAGAACAATGGCAGGTGAAGCAGCCACCTGTCAACATCCTAGCGAAGCGCTCGCTTAGCCCCACGGTCTGACCATCCGCTACCATCCCGGGACGGGTGACTGCCCCGTCCATTGTTCTCGTACTGTAAGTGGGTGATCTTTCTGTTTCTACGCGCATTGTCATCTTCATGATGGAAGAGAAACAACTGGTTGGTATAAAGGTTCATGCCTCGGGGTGAGCGACCCATCCTCTCCACACCCATGTCTGTCTTCTCCTCCAACAGCTCCATGTGGAGGCGTGCCATGGGCAGCCGCCATATCCAATCCTTTGCGGACGACGGCGATCACAATAACGAGGGATACCGTGCCCTTCCACGCCGCTCTGCTCGACTTGCCCAACTCACCACTGAGCGGGCCAATCGAAACAGGTCTCAAGATATCAACGTTGGCACTGTCAGATGCGACGCCCCTTTGGACGTGCAAGAGAGCGATGGTGAGGACGACAGCACCAGCGAGGATCATGACAGCACCAGCGAGGATGATGGTCCTGGAACTCTGGCCACTTCAGACGACCCTGTCAAACCCGTCCCGTCCACTGGGCCCACGGTAATCAGCAGCCCTCCACACACCACTCGGAAGCAGCTTCGGCACCTGATTCGCCAACAGAAGTTTCATGAGCGCCGGGAGCAGGAGAGACGAGAGTACAAGGCTCGTAGGAGTATCATGCACCGTGCCAAGGGTGCTCGAGGGTACGCGGGTAACCGCATCAGCGGGAAGGAACCAAAAGAGGGAATGGTGGAGATTAGTATGGACAACAGGTGTGTGTGTTTCTGCTGATCTACTTGCAAGTGCCTCACCTGTACTCACAGGGTGGCTGTCTCGGTCTTTGATTCTCATGGGCGCAAGACCGTTCATCGTGCACACAAGTGCAAGCGTCCTGATGTCCTCAATGCCTGCAACGAGGCGGCACGTTTGGTCGAAGTGCATGGGATGAGACCAACCTTTGATACCAGCCAAGAACGAGGCAAGTTCAAGACCTACTACTTTTCATTGCACCGAGGCTCAACAGAGGTGAGTGCATCAATTGTTTATAAATCACTTCTTCGCTGACACCCATGCAACCTAGCTTCCTCGATTCTCCAAAGACATCATGCACAACTGTGAACTGTACAATAAGCTTGTCTCTGTGCTTGATCCAGTGATGAAATACGTCGCAGGTGCGTTTCAACCATTTGATGATAACAAGTGCTTATATGTGCCAGGGATTTTCAAAGCCGAGTTCCCAGCACTCTATGAGCGATACGCCAATGCCATGGACACCGTTAACTCGAAGCACCCAGAACTGCATGCGTGTTTCTTCCCATTTGCCTCATTTTGTATCAACATGAGCAAGACTGGGGTGGTGACCGTCAAACACATTGATATGCAAAACCTCGCCCCGGGCCTCTGTGTGGTTATACCTTTCGGTGATTTTGACCCGGCAATCGACTGCAAGTTGCACGTTGTTGAGCTAGGTTATACCTTCCAGCTGGCTGCTGGAACACCCATTTTCTTTCCTTCTGCTCTCTACACACACTACAACTCAGAGCTGATATCCAAAGGGATGCGTGGCTCTATTGTTGCATGGACCGGGGCCTCAGTCTTCCAGTACGTGGATCTTGGCTGCCGTGCAGTTCAGAACCTGTCAGCCTATGAAGTCACTGAATACAAGGCTGGCCTCAAAGATCGTGTTCGCCGGGGGTTTCGACTCTTTCCCAAGATGAAGCCGGTTGTCAATAAGACGGTTGAATTACAATAGAAATACATCTACCTGTTTTCTTATCATGCACGGTGTGTCACATTTGAAATGATAGGAGAAAGGCTCAGTCAGACAATGCCAAAAATTTATTCTGACGGTGAGACCATGAAAACCATTGTTCTGACATGACGGTCTGACCGTGACAAGGTCTGACTGTGACAAGGTCAGACCTAATGAGCATGTCAGTCACATTGTGACACGACACAACTTGCCTTCAATTGTGTCATACCCAGAGTGTGTGGCTCAAAGATGTGCGCAACCACGTGCGTATTCACACACATAGTAGAACTAATCTCAGACATTCAAAAGCGAGGGCATCAGTGACAAGGAGGCAAAACGGAGGGCAAGGCGTCGAGAGATCTCAGCTCGACATTACGCAAAAAAGTAAGTGGGCGTCAAGCATTTTGTTCTATCCCCTGATAAAATCAGTGCAGAAAACATCCTGCAGCGTCGGCGAGCAAAGCGGGCTGCGGCAGCAGTCAAGGTTAATCATGGCAGGAGCCACCCTGATACCCATCTTTGCCCCTGCATACCACCAGCTCGGCCCGAGCTGCTTGGTCAGAACCATTCGGATTCGAAAACCTCTTACAGGTTGCCGGGTCTGTCGCTCTCAGAGATTAATGACGCATGCTCCGAGGATGAAGACTCTGAGGATGAGGTTAACACTCTGTTGCAGACAGCAGAGTTCAGCCCGCCAAGAGTGCTCGCAACGCTGTCATTCACGCCATCGGCTCCATCCAAGAGTTTCAAAGATGCGCCCTTGACCCCAAATCAGCCAACGGTATCACACGCGTACACGCCACCATACCCTTCATCACCACCAAAAGAGCCCGCTGAAAAACTGCCGGCTTTAAAGCTTTTTCCGCGACAACCAAAATTTGTTGAAATTTAGCCAAATACAAAGCCTTTAGTCAATCTTTGACGATTTAAAGTCACAAAAAAATTGATTCTAAACAGTCACATTTACAGACACAATCTGATTCACGGATGAAACACACGAATTGTTGGACCCCAGGTACTACACTACTCAGAGTGAACAAGCGCAAATTGGCCAGCAACAGCGCTGAGGGCCTGAAGCTTATCTGCAGTTTGGCTGCGGCTGGGGGTGGGCATGTCTGTCGATGGGAAGTTTGACGCGGCTGTTTTTTGGTCCTGCAGCTCACTTCTTATCAGTAAGGAGTATGGCATGATGATATGCCGGTACCTTTTGGATCCATGTGCTTCAGCTGATGTCAGCGCAGATTTGTGTCTGACAGATCAGACATGTTGTGTCGTTGAGAGCTTCGGAGACTGTAAACATTTTTGCCTAAGCGTGAGAAACTGATATCAAATGATGGTCCACTTTACCTATTGCCATGTCTCGAGGACGACAATCCAATTTTTCGACAGACCAACAGGCCCTGTTAGAGTCTCAGTTTGGGATGTGGGAGGCTGCTCAAAAGAGAAAACGTGTAACGAAGTGGTGGTCTGAAGGAGAGAGCGAATACTTCAAGCGCTTCCCGGTAGTGGAGGGAGAGGACGGTGCAAAAATGCGAAATGTGAGTTCATAATCATCAATTTGGCTTCAAAGCTCAAAACGCATCCAGCAGTACCGACGTTGGTTCTACAACCGTAGCAGCGCCAAACAGAGAGCAGGAATTGCGCCAAAAGGCACACTGGCCATGACAGTGTTCCGCTCCCTCCGAGCAAGGAATCGCCGTCGACAGAAGATCGAAATCTTCCAGACGCAGAATGCAGATATGATCAAGAGTGCAGTAGAGGCTGCAGGTCGAGGCGAGCTGGAAGGATTCAATCATGGCACGGCCGATGCGCATGAATCTCAGCATGAGTCTGACAGCCAAGATATCGAAGAAGATCCGCAGAAGAGTTCGAAGTCTGCAATTGTGAGTTTCAATTACTGGGATGCATGACTGTGACAACCACTAACCCGGCATAGAATCGGAAGCGTTCGGCCGCAATGGTGCTTCGTCGAGCCGTAGTCAAGTTTCTTTTCGAGGGGGCACCGGTAGAACAAACAAGTGCTGTGGATATGGCGTACGAGGAGCAAGAAGTCGACTCCGAGCCAGTGTTTGACCGCCCTGTGGAAGAGAGAACACCAGAGGAGATACAGACGTACGTGGTGTCCTCCTTGAAGATCATCAGTGACGCTCACAGGTAGTTAGCGCAATCGATGAGTTGGACAAGATCTTAGCAGAGTTGTTGGAAGGGATAGAACGCATGACGGGCTGGCGTGGGTTTGTTCTACTTGGCGGTCCAATGCCTGCATACCAGGGGAAGATCACGACGAAAACAGTTGCAACTGCGGTCAATGGTGAAAAGCCACTACATCAGTTGCTTTTAATGTGGCAAGATGTTCTGAAAGGTACAGGGGAATGGTTGCGCTGTGGATTCAGTATGTTTATCTTGCTCTTCACCTTTTGAATCTGGCACCGACACCGCAATCAGGTCCAGAAACACGTGCCTCACGTGCTCTCTCTGGCTCCACCGTGGCCGCCTGCATCAATGATGCAGTGACACACATTGACGCTGACAACCCCATTCTCCTGCCTGCAAATGAGACGGCGGTCCCAGCATCATCAAACATATCAGCAGCCATGGATTCTCCGCCGATGCCTGAAGCCGCCATGGCCCAAGCTGACGAGGCGGTCGAATTAGGACAAGCGCAGGACAGGCTGATGGAAGAAGTCAATTTCTATACCCCACTTGTCCATATGCCTGTGGGCGAAACGCAACTCCCTACCGGATCGCAATCCCTTGGTGCATCTGGCAGACTCTTCTTTGAGCCTGAGCTACATGGCGACCCGCTCCTGTGGGATTGGACCGCGTTCGGTTTTGACGGGAATGGAGAAGCTGGCAAGGGAGGACCTGGTGGCGAGGGCAGCTCAGAATGGAGGTCGGATCTTCCATTGGGGTCATCTATAGCAAGCGCAAGCTCCCCACCCTACCCCTTACAATCTGTGTTGTCTCCGCCAGAGCATGCTCCTCCCATCGGGCCGCTGGCCTCGTCAGATCATCAGCAGGCAAGATCTCTGTCCTTGCTGACATCAGCTCTGTCTCCACCACCTCGGCCTTCGACCCCGCCGCCAGCACTTCCACATCCGCACTCTCCGCCTCCACCTCCGCCTCCACCCCCAGCCTCCAAGACTCCAACAAATCCACCGCCTCCACATCCCGCTGTCGTGCGCCCAAATCTGACTGAACCTCCGCTGGAGATGTCAATGGATTTGATGAATCCTACGCCTGCGTCTTTACATTCTGTGTCAACAAACGTCCCGCCCGCGTCAAATACCCCCACCATTGTACAGCCATCTGCACCACCAACGCTCTCTGCATGGGGTTACCCTGTATCGCGACCAATGGTGCATGCACCCAAGGCACCAGCAGCCGAAGCCTGGACTTCAGAAGGGGGCGGCCAAGGCACTAGTCGAGGAAGAGGTGAGAGGGGTCGTGGTCAAGGCAGTCGAGGTGGCCGAGGTGGACAGGGCAGTGGACAGGGTGGAGGTAGTGGCGGAGTCAGACGGAGTGGACAGGCAATACTTGCGCTTGAATCCGGTATAGACATGCGTGACAATGCAGATTCCTGCCTGGCGCCTATGGACTCAGATCCCCACGCTGATCACATTGCTGCCGGTGGTGACAAAACAAGTAGCGCTGGCACGATGAGCCGACCCAAGCCGAAGAAACAAGCCTCGAATGCCGTCAGACAAGCCGATTCAGCTCCAGCAATTGTAGGGCGAGAACCCCGACAGCGTAGGCAGGCTGTGAATCGGGGTGAGCTGATGACGATGGCAGATCGCCAGGCGGCTCAAAAAGCCCAAAGTGCTGAGCTGGATGCTCATGCCAAAAAGGCAGACGTGGCACTTGCCAAGGCACTGGGTAAGAAACGACTGCGAGCTGTTGAGCCTCCCACTTCGTCGAAGCGCAAAAAGGTGTGTATGCATCATGGGCTGCAGATGCGAGCTGACCACCCAAGCAGAAATAGTGGCATGTATTCAAGTTCAAGTAACAGAGGTACAATAATGTGTGTCATAAACTATCATTGGATAATGCATGGTGTCAATGGGACTTATGAAATCCGAAGGCGGCAACACGTGATCTACTTGTCACGCGGCTCATGCCATCAGTGCGGTTGCCATCATTATTGTGCAAGAACAACGTAATTACAGAGTTGTGTACGGTGTGCACGTCCGTCTAATGTATTATGTAATAATAACAGTTGTAATATTGCTAGTGTCCTCCCTTTGTTTTCTAATATCTATGGCAGGCGAACAAACCTTTTCTTTAAAAGACTACGCAAAAGGTGCCTGGGGGTAGGCACTGCAATGCAGAATGATGTCATGCAGCAGGAGTATTGAACGATGCGGGGGAAGGGAGCGATGTGACGGGAGCTGAACGATGCGGGGGAAGGGAGCGATGTGACGGGAGCGGATTGATGCGGGAGCGGATTGATGCGGAGGGCGGACTGATGCGGAGGGCGGACTGATGCGGGAGCGGATTGATGTGGAGGGCGGATTGATGCGGAGGGCGGATTGATGTGGAGGGCGGATTGATGCGGAGGGCGGATTGATGCGGGAGCGGATTGATGCGGAGGGCGGATTGATGCGGGAGCGGACTGATGTGGAGGGCGGATTGATGCGGAGGGCGGATTGATGCGGGAGCGGACTGATGCGGGCAGATTGATGCGGGGGCGGATTGATGCGGAGGGCGGACTGATGTGGAGGGCGGATTGATGCGGGGGCGGATTGATGCGGAGGGCGGACTGATGTGGAGGGCGGATTGATGCGGGGGGAAGGCAGGCGGAAAGCGGGAAGCGGGAAACCAATGGGCAGTGCAACACGGGGGCAGCCAACAGTGGCCAAGGGCATTGGCTAGGGTGCTACACCTCTAATTTTCTATAAAACACGGTACTCTAGCGACAACTGGTTTTACAAAAAGGCATGGCTTCTGGCCAGAGTTTTTTTTACAGTATATTAACAGCATGGCCTGTCCTGCTGACCGCAGACAAGTGCCTTTGTCTACGTCCGGCTACCACAGTCATCGCATCGCATTCATCTTGTTCACGAAGGGGTCGTCGTGGATCTGCTTTCCAGACATGGCGTCACCACGCTCCTACGTCGCGCTCTTCTGACTGTGGTCGCCGCCGGTAGGAAGACATGAAAAGTCTCTTTGGTTTCCGGTAGTTGGTGCCCAAGCTGTTCGGTCGTCCTCTTCGAGCTGTCGGGCCGACCAAAAGTAAGCCATGGTGAATTGGTTACTCAGGACCTGCCTGGCTCACACGAACGCCGAGGTTGATGATGAGTGCGATCAACAAAGCAAAGACCACCGCTTCTGCGGCTGGACCAACTGTGAGGGCAGGCAAACACACCACGACACAACGATTTCGCTAACGTCGAGGAGCTCCAAAGGAGGATCGACGAATATTGGATCGTGCAAGAATCGATGAAAGGCTTGCCGGAGCACACCCTTGCCGTGTTCCCTGCCGTGCTGAAATCTGATCTCAAGGAAGGAGAGACTCAGGGAAAGGGGATGAAGCTGGCGCGGGATGGAGATACGCTCACCCTCAATCCTGCTCTGTGACGCATTGTCAGTGTCTGCATTTGGCCCCATGCAAGTGTTGACTGCCGCCTCGCCACCACTTCGCGAAGAGCTGTTTTTCGACCGAAAATTGTGGTCCCTGCTTGATCGCCGTTGGTAGGGGCAAGTTCCCCACTCCGGGCTCGCGCCGTCTATCCGCAGCAACTAGCGAAAGGTGTTCGTGCAGCTCGAGATTTGGCTAGCAGTCTTTCATCCTGGTCGGCACAAATGGCGCCTTCGGGCCTCGGGACCTTCACATCAATTCCCCCACCAGTTGTTCGAGCCTCTATGCGTGCTGTTGGGGGTCCAGAAACTAAATTGGTCCTAGCAGCAACGGCACTCGTGAACGTCACCTCTTCTATATCGACAGACGAGTGTATCCAATTCAAACTGGCGATTGCATCTCGGAATCACGCGACACGGGTCTTGACTCGGCGTCATGCATGAGCAGAAAGCGGTAGTACATTGGATTTCCTCGTCATCGTTCCGGAGTAAATAATCTCCGTTCCCTGATCAATATTCAGCCCAGCTGGCAGCCTACCTCATCCCGGTGTCGAGGACTCTTTGGTCATTCAGCCATGTGCTGCGGATTTCTTCCGCATCATCCGTCACGTTCCCGGCCTGGGCCTCGTGGAAAGCACGAAATCTTCAATCGTACCTCGGAAAAACTGCAGGGAAAGCGGCGGATGTTGATCCTAAAGCATGTCGATTTTGGGACCGGAGCGAGATAGCTAATGGAGACGCAGGTGAGCGCGAGACCGTGTACGGAAGTCCTGCCGTTCTGCGCAGGGCATTTTGAGGCAGCGAAATTGACAGATCAGATGTCTTGCCTCTGTGCAGTTCAATGCCCACTAACCAGCCCGCCTCCATTGCTCTCCAGTACTTGCCCAGCGACCTTGCAAGCATGATCGTCGGGCCCTATTCGCGGAAGGATCAGGGAAGGGCAACACAATCCGCAATATGCCATGTCTGCTCATTTGGGCCTTCCTACCACGCGGCACAAACGTCCATCGCTTTTCTCTACCTGCGTCACTGTCTCCCACACTCAAGTTGACCCGCCGAAGACTACAGCCGGCTGCGTCCTGTTGTATCATCACTCACAGGACCGTGTCTGCTTATGATATCAGAAGTGTTTCGTAACAGGACAAGTACTGGCCTACCCTCGATTCCCCACGGACGCTACGAGGGGGAGGTCCAACTGTCGCACATGACCGATCGAGCATCGTTGACGATCTCAGCTCAAGGATCTACCGCCCAAAGGGTCGCATCGGCTATCATCCGGAAACCCGCAGCGCGTCGAGTGTATCACCCCGATGCACCTGCAGACCGGTCTGAATGGGCAATGTGGGTCGGAAATGTGCCGAAGCATGCCGATGAAACCGATCTCCAGACGTTTTTCACGCAATTCGAAGACCACGGCGTCGTGTCGATATTTCTACTGTCCAAGTCCAGCTGCGCATTCGTGAACTTCGCTAGCGAGACGCACTTGATCGTGGCGATCGAGCAATATGACGGAAGCCATCTCCGCCCTGAATGGTCGACGGGGCCGGCGCTTGTCTGTCGGGTTCGCACTCTCGACGACGATCTTTGGACTGGAGTCGGCGGACAGCGAGGAATGGGACTGCACCGCCAGTGGATTGAGGACCACAGACCTCGAAATCAAGCTTTCGGTGTCCCGGACGGAAACTCGCCGAGCCCAGCTTCCGACGCGTCAACGACCTCGAGCTTCTTCGAGAGATACTTTCCGCAGCGCTTTTTTGTTCTCAAGTGTCGGACGAGGGAAGCACTAGACCGGTGTGCTGTGGACGGCGTGTGGTACATTCAGAAGCACAACCAAGTGGTGCTTGACCAAGCGTTCCGCACTTCTCAGGAGACGATCCTGATCTTCAGCGTGAACAGAAGCGGCCAGTTCTACGGCTATGCCAAGTATGTCCTCCACATTCATCAAAACCACGTTTTCACCTTCGCGTCCAGAATGATGAGCCCAGTGGCACCGACTATGTCCATCGGATCTGATCCCATGGCAGACGACACGAATGCGGGCGATGAGTCTCCGGGCCTGGTCGTGCGATTCACATCGCCTTATTCGTCCCAGTCAGGTGCCACCCAGTCACACCCAGTGTGCTGATCCGGCGTGTTTCTGAGTTTGGAGAACTCGATCGCGTTGGAGCCCGTCAACATCGATCCCTCAGCCCCAGGCGATCACCCCTGCCGACTTCGCAGCAATCTGGGCCTGATTCCCAGCAGTACAACCAACCTGAGCCGGCCCTCACACTCAACGACCCAGCGTTCAGTGAAGGACAACTGCGATCGGCGCCTGAGTTCAGCGGCCAGTTCACTGTCGAATGGCTGTGCCGGGAGCCTCTGCCCTTCAAACGCACGCGCGGCATTATCAATAGCTGGAATCGAGGGCGTGAAATCAAAATCTCGAGGGACGGGACTGAACTCGAGCCGAGTGCTGGAGCAGCGCTGATAGATGTTTGGCAATCATGGCTTACCGAGCCTAGTCGTCACCGGCGCAGATGAATGTGTCGGATTGTTCCCTCAGACAACCACTTGCATAGCTAAACCACACGCGTCTTGCAAGGAGCACGCCTGCTCACTTGTTTGTCTCCCAATCTCCGGATATATTGTCATACACGTATTCTATCCGTTGTACTATCCGCCTCACTCCATGGCTCCCATACTTCCAATCTCCATACTCCATGTTGCATAATAGGTGTTGTCTTCTCTTCCAGTATGAGTGCCATAGGGGCCTCGACAGGCTGTTCTGCCTAACTTCCATTCTCGAACGCCTCAGCTTCGTCGATGATTCCGGCCGCCGCGTATCCTGCTGTCCAGTCTGTTTGCTTGCGATCTACTTCAGGAATGAGTCATACTGCGAGCTACATGATATACATAGGAGCTACTGCGTTGTCTAGTCATATCAGGGAACATGCAGTACATACCAACGAGTGATTACAGAAGAGTCGTGATGATTGTACACAGCGAAGTAATAAAAGAGGGAAAGAGGTCGACAGGTCCACGTTCAAGAGCTGAAGTTTTAGAGACTGGTTAACGCTTGGCTTGCGGCGGCGCCTGGATGAGCGTCGCGCTGAGCTTTCCAGATCTCCAGTACAGCCTGGCCCGCTTCGGGCTCGATCTCCGTTCTGGTTCCACGGATTGTGCATATGTTTCGTGCGCGAGAAGAGACGCATGTGATAAACACACATCCAGTGCAAAGGACAGTCCGACTCGGGTTCTGCTTCGCTTCCGTCGAGCAGGGCAGGGGGGAGAGGAAGGTTTACAGGAGCGGAGGATTTTGAGAGGAAGGCGTGTGTACATCGAGTCCGGTGTGCGACAAAGACTCGTGTCGTTGGCCAGGTACTCCAAGAGGCGTAATGGGTCCCTTCATCCTCGAAATGTGGTCTCAGTGACTGTCGACGACGTCATGCTCCGACATACTGCACATACCCGTAGAACTCTCCGCTCTTGTTGACACTGAAAAGCAGGAATGTGTCTTTAGAGGTCCGGGAGCCAAGATCGAAAACTTCTGCGCTGTGTCGCTGGGCATTCCAGAGACCAGTATCGACACTCGTTTGGATGAGAGGAGGAAACAACCGCGACAACACTGGTGCAGACCTGTTTGTACGACTTGAGCATGAAGAATCGCTATGGAAAGTTCTGAAGCAGACTTGACGTGGTCGACGGAAATGGTATCCGAGTCGTTCCAGGCCGCGCTAGTCCGATCTCTCACCGGGGCGTGGTGTGCGCGGAGAAGGCAAGATGTATTTTGAAGAGCCAGAGCCGTCTGCACTGTCGTGTGTGCACGTTCGACCACTTGAAATCAGTTGTGAGATTTGAAGCTCCCGGGCCAACCTCGAGCCAACGATTTCACGCATGGGAAACATCTGGAGCCCTGCTATGTAGCACCTAAGAGCGAGTGAGCTGCAGATGATTTGGGCAGAGCCGCGATGGTCGATGCTGAGTGCTGAGAATTGCATCCGATATCAATCGTCACGGACGGATCAAGGGCTATATTTCGCCAAGCTTACGGGGAAAGAATCACCGGTCTGGAAGTCAGGCCAGAAATCACTCTCTATTCCAAGCGCTCACGGAGAAACAAACTCCATTGCACACACGCTCGGATTTTGTGCGGTACAAATGGGCAGCCTATGGCTAGATTATGTAAACCCCACGCCCTCGAAAATGTCCGCCTCGGATATCGGCACATTCCCGGTATCTCCGACCGCTGATTACTTCAGTCCAGCCCAAATTTCGAGCAACTGCTGCCCAACGCCGGGCTCGATTTCTGTGCCATCCCTCGCTACTTGTATCCTACGGTTTCTGTTCCAGGGATTGACCAGTCGATCGGCGTAGGCGAATGGAAGAGGTCTAGTGCACATCCACTGCACACCAAACTCTTTGCCCCAGTGGGTGTGGCCCTGCTTTGCCAATCTCTGGCACCAGAAACCTGGCGCAGAAGCCTTGGGATGAATGTTTTTGCGCGCATTCTGCTCTGTTTGCGACCACTCGACACGAGGGCTATCAGGCTGAGGCACACTCGTCATTCTGCAGCTGCCGATGAGTCGTCGTCGTCGTCTTCATTGTCTGCCGGAGCTCACCTCGCGAAGCCATAGAAATTGCCGCTCTTATTGACGCTGAAGACGAGAAAGACCTCTTTGGCTGTCCGAAAGGCCTGGTCGAGAAAGAACTCGTTGTGTCTTTGAGTAGCCCACAAGCCTGTTTCAACGCTCAAGTCTAGATCCCGCTGCGGACACGGATTCAGATAGGGACGCGGACTGTAGGCACAGCATACCTGGGAGAAGGACTTCATGACGAAAAACCGTTTCAAGATTCCGTGGTCGCCGAGTGAGCCCGACAGGACCGCGTCCTCAGATCCTGTCGCTTCATCCTTTAGCTCTGCCGTGATCTGTCGCGGGTCGGCGGGGGCTGGATTAGGTATGGTGTTGTCGAACTCCCCCTGAACACGACAAATCAAAGCCTTGACAGAGTCCTTGCGGAGGCAGGAGCCGTGGAATCGCACAAGAGCGATCTCGAGTGAGCGGGCCGTTTTGTAATTGACGAACGCGCAGGCGGATCGTCTCAGGGAGATGATGGACACTACGCCATTGAGACGGTCGGCGATCCCAAGGAGGCTGTCTGCCGATAACGACGGAGGAGCAGTGAAGAACTTGTGCAGTTCTTCGTGTGTGACGTCAGGAGGAAGATTGCCGACCCACATCGCCCACTTTGTGCGGATAGCGCCCCGGGGTGAAGAATAGGCGACAGGAAGAGACCGCTTGCTGTTATCACTGTTCTCGCTTTCGGAGAAGATGGGTGAACTGGAGACAGTCGCTGAGCTCGACTCATGCGCTGAGGTTCCGGAAATGTGATATTGAGACGATCCAGACGGAAAACTAAGGTTATGTCGCCAGTTCCGTATTGCTTGATCCGAAAAGAATGGCGGGCTTGACCAACGCTCGTCGAAAACGTGATGTTCAGTCAAACGAGGCGAGAAGAGAGTGGCATCGGCGGGCGGATCATTGAGCGACGGAAATTTGAGCAGATGGACTGATCACAGATCGAGAAAATGAGACGAGGTGGAGGGCGCAGACCGACCTTCATTGGAGTCCTCTGAGCGCGCAAATGTCAGTGTTGCAGATTGTATCACCAACCCGGTTACTTACTGGCGGGAATATGAGACCACTGGCCGTCTTCCATGGCAGAGGGAAAGAGCGAAGCCTGGGTTTTCCGGAAGGCATCATCATTTTGACAAGTCTGAAATGAGTTGTAATAGCGACCATGTAAGTGAGGACATCGCCGCTGTCAAGTAACGCAGAGAAGCAGATTGTGAGAAAAACAGATGAGCTCAAATTCGCTCCGAAGCAAACCCGGGGCCGTGTCCTGCTGTTGACATGTGCCATGGGGTCTCTGGAACAGCCATTTATAGACTTGATTGCTGGAGTGTCGTAGACACGAAGATAGGGCCAGAGACCGTGACTATCTGAGATGTCATAAATGCGTCTACTGGAGCAGTCTGCTAGCTATTCTTTATAAGGTCCCCGTAGCGATATGATGTAATCATGACTAGGAAATGTGCAAGCGCTGGACTTCGGATTGTGGAGTGCACGAGAAAAAAGTGAGACCGTGGGCAGCACCGCTCACCCAGTTCAGGATGGGTATCCAGTCAGGCTGAATCCGTCGAGGAAAGTATTCGGGATATGTTCTTGGTATGATCGCACTGAATTCTCAGGGCCGTCAGACGCTTGCGCTAAGGAGTGCAGGCCAAATCGTGGATGAGCCTTGGGCGGCAAGGACGCTGGTGACAATCGGATTTGACCAGACAAACACGCGTGTGATTGATCGAAGTCTGGCGAAGAGATATGCGGCAGCATTCAAACTGGACGCGTTCTTCGAGCACTTCGATCCACGCACAGCACGCGCGCAGTTTGGCACAATTGGCTTCCTGGTCGCGTACCGGTACTGAGGCCAGGAGACTCCCCTCTGCGATCCGGGGTTATTTCAGGCCTACGATACTAGATATCATGTGCTCTGTCGGGCCACCGCTCGAGCCGAGGCCTAGTCCGTCCTTGCGCATGGATGTGTCCCACCCTCAGTCAGTTTTTGTCGAGCTCGGCAGTCCCCGCCTGGCAAATGCCGCTCTGTAGGAGCCGGCGTGGGCTCAAGTTCAGAGCAAAAGGGCGACAGCGTGTCATCGCCGGTAGTTACCGGGAAGTGAGATATGACCTAGTCTAGTGTACATATGCGAAGACACCAGTGAGCTGTGACACTGTGTATCTAGGAGAAATGAGATACATTGGGGATTGACCGAGTCTATGGGTGTCCAGATACCAGCTCGCATATCTCTGTGTACCTGGAACCTGGGGAGAAGAACCAAAGGAAACGAATCACGACACGGGAGCCTACTAGTCGTATCCGGGGTTAGAGAAGAACATCGCACTATCACGCCCTTTGGCGGCTGCTCTCCCCCTGCAGCAGCCGCCATGCCTCCAGAAGCGCTGATCCAGCATTTGGGTCGAGCTCAGTGCCGTCCCTCGAAATCTTGACCTCGCGGTCACGGTTCCATGTATTGACAATGTTCCGCGTCCGTTTGAAAGGCAGCGGCTCGGGGCAGATCCACTCGACGGTGATTCGGGCGGTGTAGTCAGACACCCCGTCACTCTGGGGATCTGGCTCAGGATGTTCATCCGCTTCTGGTTCTGATCCAGCTTCAAGGACGTCCTGATGACGCTGGAGGAGTCCATCGAGGCTGATAGGTTGACGAACGTCTTTCCCAGCTTCGTAAAACTCCTGAAAGTCTGGATGCCGGGGACCCATCACACTGGGCGCTGACTGGGTGACACCGGGCGGCGAAGGGCTCGGTGTAACTGGACTAGCGGACTTTTCGGCAACGGTCGTGTCCGGTGGCAGACCATCATGAATAGCATCATTCGTCGTCATTACTGAAGTCCTCATCCTCAACGTCGTAGAAAATGAGCAAGGATTGAGCGCATCAGGAAGATCGCGCACCTGGCATAGCCATAGAACTGGCCACTCTTATTGACACTGAAGAACAAGATTGTCTCCTCAGATGTGCGAAACGCCCGGTCCAGAACAGCCACGTTGTGTGTCTGGATGAACCACACTCCATCCTCAACACACCGATCCAACTCTTCCCTCGTCTGCGACTTGAGCACAAAGAAGCGCCGCGGAAAGTGCTTTTCGAAGAAGCTCGACGTTGTCGAGGCGTCGGAAGCTGCGCTCGGCGAATCTGCGTCCTCGATGCCATCACCCCCTGCGATGCGGCTGTTGATCCACTGTCGGTGCAGGCCAACTCCTCGCTGCCCACCAACGCCAGTCCAAAGGTCGTCGTTGAGTGTCCGGACTCGGCAAACCAACGGCGGCCCCCGAGTCCAATCCGGGCCTAAATGCTTGCCATTACACTGTTCGATTGCAGCATTCAGGTGGCCTTCGCTCGCGAAGTTGACGAACGCGCAGCTCGACTTGGAGATCAAAAACACGGATAGCACACCGTGGTCGGGATTTTGTGCGGCGATGAATGTCTGCAGATCATGCTCGTCGGCGTGCTTGGGGACGTTGCCCATCCACATCGCCCATTGGGACCGATCCGCGGGCGCAGCAGGATGGTAGACCCGCCGTTCGCTGGGCCTGTGGCTCTCGTACTGATTTCTGTTGGAAGGGGGGATAGATTCGCTTGGTTGGTGTGTCCTCGCGTTGGAATTCAAGTGGACGTCTGAGAGAATATGGGTGAGGAACGAGCATCGACCGCAGGATAGCAATAATGCATACCGGTTGATCGCTCTCGCGTTTCACACATATTGGCAAGAAGTTCGAGACCTGAACGAGAAAGTCTCTGTTTGGTAATCCGGTCAATCTCGCGACCTGAGTCGTGGAGTAGGATGCAGTGTCGAATATTACGAATACCCCCGCAAGCTACTCGCATCGTGACATCATGGGCAAAACGCGGTCCTGTGAGTGATGGTAAAGCGAAGCATGCCCATTCGGAACGAAGTTGAGGAGGACTGGGGGAAAGGATGCGCTCGTCGCTTCGTCTGGGTACGGTACCGTGCCGATGGCCGAGAGAATCCGGAGATGGTAGCAGCGAGTTGGGATTATTTTGGTTTGTGTTGCCGCTAGATGATCACTTTGTGCTGTCGAGTGTTCGTCGCATCATCTGCTCAGGCCGATTACCAACCCCACCGGCTTCCAGCCCTGTCCGCCGACGGACGTTGTTCAGATATATCATGGTCTCGATCGCAGCGCAGGCGTCGGGGAAGAGCTTTGGAGCTCCCAGCGAATGCTTGTCGGCCGTCTGGTATGTGGCAGGGCTCAATCCCTTGACATGCCTACCTCATTAGACGATATACAGGTGGGATCTGAAGCCGTCTCATTCCTCGCAAGACGGCCTGGACCCATTCACACCATTCCGCGATTCGCTGACGACCCGAGCTGGCCTCCGTTGCCTTCATCCCGCTCAGGCCGTCTCAACAGAACCCTTCCAACACCGGAAACGGTTGGTACCAGTATCTCAAACTCCCCGTCATCCCGCGGTAGCAATTCACAGCCAGACTTCCTCATGTTCTTTCCGAACAACGGTGCGGATCTTGTTGGGGAAACAGATGTCGAGAATCGTTTCTGTGGAGAGCAGGAACAATCTTGCGCGCCGGCCTCCTGCGGACTACGTGCCACAAAGGTTTCTTCCCGCTGAGACCACTTGCCCGCCCCCCTTGACTCTCAAGTACTTCGGTAGCGACGTTCCGCGGGTCTGATCCGGAGACGCAATCGCTGGCCTAGATCGCGGCCAACCACGAGGTCTCATGGAACTTGAATTTGGTTGGAAGCGATGAAATGTCTTTGGTGGTGCTTATGAATGACTGGCGCAGATCGTTTTCTCCAGGGGCCTTCTCACTTGACGCAAGTGGGGTGACAGGAAGTCCTGGCTTCGTGGTCGATGAGCTCCCAGATCTCAGACCTGTCGTCACCTCAAATCTTGCTGCAAAGCCCATTTCTGGCGATTATAAGCACGTCTGTCCATTTCGATGTTATTTGTTGGACTAATCCCACGATTAGAACTCGAATACAAGCACAGCACACATAGACACCTACCATTCCGTCGCTAGTGTGTCATCATTCTCGCGGTTAATCGCATGTCCGCACTCGCTCCGCTTCAAAGTTTCCCAGAAGCGTCCTCAAGATTCCTGTACAAGATGAGGCCACGTGCTGAAGCCTCCGCATCCCGGTTCGCGGAGAATGGAAAAGACGTCGGAGCACCGAATCCTTGAGCTGAAATCCCGATGCACGAATGTGCCACGACTGCAGTCGAGATGGACGAGATGAGAAGGTGGTGCCCACCGGCGGCCACGAATCCGGCAAGAATATGCTGCACTTGTGTAAATGATCTGGGAGCGAATGATCTACTGGCTTGTGCACATGCGAAAGGGAGCGTGAGGATTCGGCTGGAATGTGCAAGAGGTGCGAGGGGAACAATTGCGCAGGCGAGCGACCCGAGACGTGGGTGGAATGACAGAATGAGAGCTGAGAGTTGACCTCTTACTGTGAGCTTCTAGACTTTAAGCCCGTCAGAGCCTTTGACTGGTCGGCAGGTGACCATGCACACTGCTCTCCTTCGCACCCGTCACCTTGACAGGACGAGGGGCGAGTGTTCTTCGTGAACAATGTCGCGGCGAAAGGGTCTGCAACAGGGTAATGCGCTCGAATAACGGAGAATGATTTCGAGCGACTGGTATTCGAAGACGTGGCACATTGACCATTTCCGTTGTGTCCAGAGGTAAGCGTTTCCTCCCCTTTGGCGTCCTTGCCATGTGCTGATGATATGCAAAAGATGCCGTTAGAGCTCAAACAGAAAGCAACTTGAAGAAAGAACAAACATCATCCCATCCCTGCACGCAATTGTTTCTTCCGCACGGGCTCTCCATCCCTCGAATCCTTCCTCGTTTCGGCCGGGTTTCGACGGTGCTGTGACCTTGGGTTCGAGATACTGCACCAGCATGGGGGCATCGCCGCCGGATCGAAGACGTGGCTTGCTTCGTTGATGCTTTTCTTCGGCATTGTCCCCCCAATCGCGAGGGCTGACAACGTCGGCTTCCCAACCGAACACATACTCCTCAATATTCGCGCGCTCTTGCGATTTCCTTTCTCGCACTGGCCACTACTTTCCGTCGGGTTCCCGTCACCACGAGAGCCAAATTTGACGCGCAGCGATCAAAACTCATATACGAGCATGACCGTCCACGCTAGTGACGATGAATAGAGTGGACGAGCCGCTCACAGGATGGGCTAGTACCAGGCGCAGTACTTGCTCGAGTGCGGCTTCTATGATCTCGCAATGTCACCGGATGTGGAGCTGCTTGAGCTGGTTACGTGAGCGTGGCCAGGTCCAATCCCAGAATCCGAACGATATGTTCCAAGGACGAACATCTCAGGCAAGTGGCGGCTGTCAAATGTTCCCGATGCAATTTGCTGACGACTCGTAGACGGAGAAAGACCAATCGCCTGGTGTGCGAATGAGCGACAGACACAGGCTTCAGTGCACAGCATAACGTTTGCGCATCTTCACTCTCGAAGGGAGCAGCTAGTCGGGCCTCGCTCCACGAGGCCATCCACGAAGACAATGGCTGTCATCGAGACGAAGGGTGTCTGCTTGCTCGATCGAGTCCACACCGAATCACGCTTCCTACAGTTGGCCGCAGACAGCCACCGGTTCTACTGCTCTCGTTATGCCGCCTCTGCAACCGTTTGCACACACCCCGTTCCGGAGTCGTTATGCTTGACGATTTTCATCTCTGGAGCGACGCCACAGTCGTCGCGAGCTTATGCACTGGAGCATCAGATTCTCCGCAACTGGGTATGGTCTTCGAGAAAGGAGTTGAGCAGATGGCCCTGGATCGTGTTCGCTACTCGTCGCGACGTTGCGAATCGAATTTGGGATTCGTGTTGTCCACCGTCCCGGAGGATTCCAGAGCACTAGTTCTCATGTGACGGAGGAGCCTGTTGTGCTGTGGGACGCGAATGGACGGACTGCGAAGGAATTGCCTTGGAGGTCTAGCTGTCCAAAGACTTTCGGGAGCAACTCATCCCCAGGGATTCGCTGCGGCTGGGTGTGTCAGATTAAGGACGGAGACCATGATCATGCTGACTTTATTGATTCTGGTGTCCCCTCAGCCGCATCCAGGCAGTGCTTATCTTGTGCCGTCTTCGCCTTTCTCCCTGCTCCCATCTCTGGCAAGTGGTCGACAGAATGGCCTTTCGCTCTTTGTGTGTGAGAAAACAGAACTCGGGTTCGCGTGCATTGTCGTTGATGAGCCTGTCTCAATCTGCGCGGTAGGCAGTGCTTCTGTGCGTGGTAGTGATCTAGCGTTGGCGAAGTTGATTCTGTGGTACGGGTGGCCTGACGGGAACAAGTTGTTTCATTGACGAGCTTACACTTCAATTTGTTTGCACTAAACACCACTCTCGGCTGGTCGCCGCCCCTCCTTACATAAACACACTTTCCCCGCATAACAGACCAGGCCCGAAAGCTCAGACGGGATATCTCCTCATTCTGGGCAATCACGAATGCTTCCTGGCTTTCATCGAATCGACTTCCTGGCTAAAGACTTGCTGGGACTGTGCCATCTTGATTCGTGCATGAGGGGAGGGGATGTCCGTCATTTCTGTCCCTTTCTCGCGCACAAACCCATTGCCTATAAGACGCGGCTGGACTTTCTGATCTGCGAGTCAGGATTTAGCGGTCAAACCGGGGGAACTTCTCAAGCAGACGGGCGGACTAGTCTCTCCCTTCTCTGAGCACGGACTTTATTTCCCCGCTTCCCCGATGATATGGACACAAGTTGCCGATGACTGAAGTCAAGTACTTGTTTGTCACACACTCTGTATCACGGCGTGCTCTGCTCTGACTTTGTCCACTGCGAGTACGCGAAAAGCTCAGTCCAATTGCCGACACTTTTCTCCGGAGACGGGAAGGAATGATCAGCATGTGACGTCAATTTCGCGCCATTTTCTTGACCTCTCATTTCGCGTCATTTCATGCGGAGGGTTGTGTTTTGATCCAGGAGCAATTGCCTTCGAGTCGTGGACTATTCAGACTGGGGACTTGAAGACTGCCTTCACGCACTCGCGCATGCTCCCAGTTCCAAGGCGGGATCGCTTCTGTCGAATGCTCCCGAGTGGACGAGCCCTCAACCTCCCGGGCTGCCCCATCAGAGAGGATTCGGCCGATTCTCCTCGGAACACGCAAAGCGATATTTGAAGATGAACAAGTTGGCGAGGCATCTACTGGGTGGCAGCATTGCCACAGCTCATGGCTTGCTGAGCATCGCCTTGTTGATGAGGAATCTCAAGTTTATACGCAGAGGATTGACGTTGGAATACTCTCAGTTTCTGTGCTCGTCGTTCAGAGCCAGACAACTATCTACAGTACTGCAGTGAAACCCGCGATCTGATTATCATTTGAATAATTCAGTAACCATGAAGTATTGATCCTGGGCTGTTAGCTCTTCCCGATCTGACGAAGTGAGGTGCCGGCTTTCAACGACGGTTTCACGCCGAACAGCATCTGTTCGGCAATTGGGCTATGCGAAGCCCTGTTTCAGAGTGTTTAGTGCTCAGTTGAGGTCCAAGAGCCTAGCAGTGTGCTATTCCCACGCACACTAGGGCTTCAACCGTCAACAGCATCAAGGATCCGATGCCGAACTCATCGAGTAATGCGCGTGTGTCGGCGGCGCTCATCACAGACTGGGACTGGTTCCATCGCTGCATAAAAGCATCGAGTCTCGCTGCGAGGCTAATCCTCCATCGGTCTCTGACTATTGCAACCTGAGCCTCCAGAAACATCGATGTCATCCCCGTATACTCAGCCACGCACTCGGGTTTTCGTCGCTTGTGTCAGCTGCCGCAAGTTGAAAGTCAAGGTATATTGCCGCTCCGTCTTTTTGTCCCACATCCACCAACCGAGTTTTCCAGTGCATGAACAACAACGAAGATGATACCCCATGCGCTCGATGCGTCCAACGGAATATCCAATGCGTCTACGCTCCAGTCAATTCCAGATCAACGGAGAGTGACGATAGGGCACCTGATCCGCATTCGGGAACGGTTTAGATGACTGAGATCAGCGGGATCGACTTTCAGACTTGAAATCAGGCACTTAGATGGGGTTAGATATCGAACGGCCATGGACGCTGTAACAACAGTCATTCATGCTTGATCCGTTGATTGTCGATGAATGAGGAAGAAACGAATATCACTGGCTGCATATCCAAGAAAGAGTGGGATAATACTCGGCATTTCAATGAGAGCTTGCTATATCTCTTAGCCAAGACTTGTTTGTGGAGTCTGTCCACGAGACCCCATATACACTCCAGTCCCAATTCCGGACAGATGAAATACATCAGGATCTTGTTTTCGTATGCTGCGGCCAGCGAGATCCGCGAGCAAGAAAATTTTAGATTCTAGGCAGCAAGCCCTGCCAGCATGCTGAGTAAAATGCGCGAGGTAGAAGTAAGATGACGGAGAAGTCGAAAAAGGACGAGGCAGTTGTTGCGCTCGCACGGTCCGAAGTATGATAGCCGATGCGGATGTCTGATCGATCAGTCTTGGGGAAATGACGTCAACGACTGCTTCGACTGCTTTTCCTCGCCTAAAATTCAAGCAATTCAATCCTGTCTAGACCACCAGAGCTACCAGTGTGTTAATAAAATATGAGGATTGTGCGCCTTGAAGTACGTGGTCTAACAGGTGCTCAGGACAGGTCCCGAACTCACGAAAAATACGAGCCGGTCATGATGTCACTCGAGGCGACTGACCCGTCATGGATCTGGTTGATGTGATTAAGACTCTTTTTTCTTCTCATCGACCAGGCTCTCTCTCTCCACCGCTACCCAGGGGCATCTTGCCCACACAATGCCCTCACCTACGCGGCCCGTGCGAGACGAGCAACGCAATCGAAGTAAGCATCACTCACTTTTCTTGATCACGGCTCCGCATACACGCCTGCTTGCTCAGTACCTTGTCCTGCCATCCTTACTCCCTCTTACTCTCTCATTCTAGCTACTCGTGGTACTGATTTCGCTCGTAGGCCATTTGGCGTCTCTGTCGTTGTCTGACAATTGATAGCATGGCGCGGTACGGACCCCAGGACAGCACCAAGTTTATCCACACTGACGCTGGATGTCCAGCAGGGAGTATCACTAACCCGAAATCCCGGTGCTTTTGGGCCATTGAACCACGTCCCCAGTCGCCTGTCCCCCGGTTCCACTCCATTTACGTCCCACACGTCACTGCGATCGTCATTTGGCTCCCCCCACTTAGCGCCTTCGCAGTCCGGCGCTTTCCATGAATCATTGAACCCCTACGCTGCTCCTTACCTGTCATCCACCACACCAGCACCGTCTCTCCCGGCGTCGAACTCGGCCCTCTCTGGGTCTTTCGACCACCTGCATCCTCGATACCACATGTATTCTTCCGGCCGAATGCCTCTCTCCCCTCCATCCTTCCCAAGCCAAGAGCAAGACGGCGGGACATGGATGTACTTTCCCCCTCCAAGACCGCTGATACCCGCCCATCCGGTGCCTCCAAGTCCCCCTCAGCGCACGCCCTCGTTGTCCCACCAGCGACGGCCATATCACCCAGCCGCGCCGCCGCATCGATCGGAGTGGGCTATGTGGGTCGGAAACATCCCACGGGACACGGACCATGACGAGCTCTGGCGTTTCTTCACACAGCCCCCATCGGGAGGGGACCCTGCGGGCGTCAGCGCCAGCTCAAGACGTAATGGGGTGCATTCCATCTTCCTCATTGCCCGTTCGGGATGTGCGTTCGTGAACTACGACTCACAGAGCCAGCTGTCGGCTGCTATTTCCCGGTTCGATGGCATGGCACTGCGCGCCACCGCCTCGGTCGGCACGAGCAAGGCTGGCTCGCCACTCGTTTGTCGGATGAGGAAGCATGAGGATGACTTGAATGCTGGAGTTGGAGGCCAGCGCGGGATGGGGCTGCACAAAAAGTGGGTCAAGGACAAGGGGAAGGGCAATGGGAAGAACAAAGGCAAGCCGAGTGTCGTGGTCATGAGGGACAATTTGCCGATCGTCGGAGCAAGCGTGCAAAGCTCCGGACATGCACAGACGGAAAGTGGAGGAAGTTCGGGATCGGGATCAAATGTGTCCACCAACTCAAGTTTCCTCCGCGAGCATTTTCCCCGACGTTTTTTCATTCTCAAATCTCATACGCAGGCACGTGGCCACGCACCGTCTAACTATCTATTCTCACCTACCAGCAGGAAGACCTGGACCTGAGCGTTGAAACCGGTGTCTGGGCAACTCAGAGTCACAATGAAAGTGTTTTGGACAGGGCGTATCGGACCTCGGAGGATGTCTTTCTGTTCTTCAGCGTGAACAGAAGCGGTGAATTTTACGGATATGGACGGTGTGTGATGTTCGGTTTGAGGTGGTTCGAGACTGAATGCTTCTGAAGCATGACAGGTCCCGTCGAATTACGACGCAGCAAACCTGTTAATGATCCGCCACATCTATCGATCTTCGCTGGTGGCTCGCCGCTGTTCGATGAAGATCTTCCTCCGCCGGAAGCTCTACTTCCTCCATCACTGCTGGATGACGCCGAAGGCAGCGAACACGAGCTCAATCATGAGTTCACGCTTCACTGGATTTCCGTTGACCGCCTTCCGTTCAGCCGCACTCGTCACATCCACAACTCGTGGAATCACGATAGGGAAGTGAAGGTCTCCCGTGATGGGACGGAGCTGGAACCAGATGCTGGAACGGGGCTTTTGGATGCATGGAGAGCTCAGCGCGCTGAGCTCCCTCAGCAAGCCACCGCAAACGTGAACCCGCGCCGGAGGAGGCATATGGCACAGCCGTCATTGTCATTTTCTGCCAGTCCTGTCAGCCGGTGAACCCTTGGCCATGTGTTACTCTCCTACCTACTACTGTATCTTACTTCCTGTTGTGATGTCATTTCCGTGCCACAACGTGTTGTTACGAAACCATGTTATATAAGCAGTATCGTAAAATCGCTCCATGGACCAAGCCTTCGGATGGCCTGATTCGACCCCAATCGGGTTTCCGAGAGTAGCATTGACATATATGTCCGGATGCATTATGTACAGTCTCCAGCAAGTCATGTGAACCGTTAAGATGCATTTGTTATGGCAAATGATCAACTACAAGATTGCACGCGACTTGAGTACAGCGGTGATTTCCATTGCCATGACGTCATTTCTACGGAAAGCTATGTTTAGTGTACTCATGTGGGCTCTCACGGCATCCCTCGAATCTGAGCGTGGGAGCGTTTACATTCGTCATCTAGCAGCCGAGGACCCAGCGATCGGCAAAATACTATTCATCGTCTGTTGTTTATTGTTGTTGTTGTGTCGATCCTTGCCTTCAGTCCATGCGCCAGGATCCAATCGACGGCGATGAGAGTCTCCTCCGGACTTCTGACCTGCTGGAATATCGATATCTGAATGCTAGCCAAACTCATCACCTCGAAACTTTGGCACTGCAGCCTGTGGCGACTCCGAATCTTGTTCTCGCGATGCTCGGTATCCACTTCTTGGCCCCACTTCCACTTGCGATGATGTCAGTTCGATTCCTGCAGTGCTTCGGCGTTTACTTATAAGGAACACCTCCCAGGAAGCAGCTCCACCCCAGCACTTTCTGGCACGAGCATTAATTCCAGCACACATGAATCGGCACGACGAACGGGCAGATGGTGCGTGCGCATCATGCGTCCTTTTGGTTTCGAGAAATGACAGACCTGCAGCCAATAGGAGGCGACGAAATTGTGCGGCACTTCAGTCTTCTCTCATTCTTGAATCCAAGCTCATCAGAACACGTAGCCTCGTTTCCCGGTCGAACCGAAACAGACGCTCAAGCCTCGAGTTCAGACCCAACGACGCAGCTCACGTTCCCATCTTTGAATGATCCACCACCTCCAGAGTCTCAGGCTTCTCCCTACTTCCACCAGCAGCCTCCATCCTTGGTTTTCCAGCATGTGCATGGCCCGCAGTACTCGCCGGGGACATCACCGCCGTTCCAGTACCAATCATACGCGCCCGCTTTCATTCACATTCCGAGCCAGAGCGGGTTTCAAGCGCACCAGCCGCCCCTTTCGTCCCCCGGATATTTCTCGTCGCGTCCGACTTTCCAGCGGTCCTTCTCCGACGTCCCACCCTCGTCGTCATTCCGGGCCGGTCCTTCGTCGTCTAGCATCCCGCTTTCGACACCACCCACCCCAATGCTGGAGCAGCCGTTATCGGCGGAATCGCGGTCGGATTGGGCCATGTGGGTTGGGAATGTGCCCAAGGACGCAACGCAGGAGGAGCTCTTTCGGTTCTTCTCGCAGTCACCCACGTCTGGTCCGTCCACTGTCCCGAACAACGGTGTGCTCTCGATCTTCTTAATCCTCCGCTCCCACTGCGCGTTCGTGAACTACGTCTCGGAAGAAGATATGATGGCTGCGATCAAGCGCTTTAATGGGCTGTCCCTGAGGCAGGAGGGTCGCTCTGCCGCGTTGTTGTGTCGGAAGAGAGATGGACGGAATGATTTCAGCGAGAGCGGCACTGGCCAGCAGAAGATGAAACTGCACCGTCGTTGGGTCAAACAGCGTACCCAGAGCCACAGCAGCGAGGACGAGTCCGATGCTTCAACAACATCAAGCTTCCTCCAGCTGCACTTTCCTCGACGGTTCTTCATTCTGAAGTCGTTGACGCAGGTGACGTTCTTCGGCTTTGTTCGCCAGCCAGTGTGTCGTTACCCTTCAACTAGGACGACTTGGATCTCAGCGTCAGGCACGGTCTATGGGCAACCCAAAAGCACAACCAGTCAATCCTAGAGCAAGCCTTCCGAACGTCTGAGCACGTCTTTCTTATCTTTAGCGTCAATAAGAGCGGAGAGTTCTTCGGATACGCCAGGTGGGCCCCGGTTACGCGACTCACTATCGATCCCCCCTGATCTCGCGAAAGAATGGCAAGCTTACCGGCGCCGGGCAGCGTTCAAGTCGACTGGACGCACAGGCAGACGTCCCCGACATCCCCAGGTGCTCGAGAAGGAGGAAACGAGTGGGGTCACGAATTCCATATCCACTGGATACGAACCAAGCGGCTGCCCTTTGCGCAAACTCGCAATTTTCGAAACCCGTGGAACCAGGGAAGAGAGATTAAAGTCTCCAGAGATGGCACGGAATTGGAGCCTTCCGTGGGAGAAGCGGTATTGGCTGCCTGGGACAAGCCAGCACTCTCGAACAACTAGTTCAACGAGATGGTTGCTGTCAAGCAGTCAGGTTATCTAGGATCGTTCTAGCACCCGTAGCATGATCAAGATTTGCCTTATCACCCTTGTGCGCCTGAGTTGTTTTGAAGGGTTAGCGGAAGGCTTGCACGTGCAGGCGGAATATTCGCACGTGTATCTCACGTGCACAGGCCTTTTCAGCCTGAGAGCAGAAGCTGCTGGGATCACGAGCCCTCACGTCTCTACTTGTAATCATGGCGATAGACGGTTATGCTCTACCGCCCGAGATATGGCTCCACATTTGGTCCTATTCACCTCGGCACCATCTGCTGCGACTGGTCCTCGTTTGCCAATTGTTCCGGAGCCTTCTCCGGCCCACTGTATTCCGGCAGATTGAGCAACGAGCTGCGGGACTTGAATCGAGCATAGACTGGATTGCGCATACGCAGAAATTTTGCCGCTCGGCGTCTCGATATCGGTGGATATCACAGGGTGCGCTATGTAGGGAGGTGGTGACAATGACCTTCTCGGGAACCCATCGCCTGGAGACTCTGCCGCGTCGGTTTCCGAATGTCAAGCACATTCACCTTGTGCATGACAGCTATCTCCGTGCTTGGAATGCGTTCAAGGAGGCCCTCCCCACTTTCATAAACCTACACATCGTCTCCCTCACCGCTGTACCTGTCGACACCTCAATTCGCACAGCTCTATCATCGATTCCCAGGCTCAAGACTTTGGAACTGGGGGATTGCAGCATCACGGCGCATGACGGACCCCTTCTTCCCCTTACGGAACTGGTCATCAGAGGCAGGATCCTCGATCCACGGGCCGTTGCATCTCCTCTCCTTCTCGCTCGCGCAGAGACGATCGCTGAATTGAAACTGGCCCGGCGGTACGACGAGTATGCACTGTTGCGAGGATTCATAAAAATGCAGACAACGTGTGGCTCTCTCACTGTTCTTTCCCTCCCGTTCTTCGACGGCGATGCACAAACGTTCTTTGACTTTCTCCGGCTGTGCGCCAATGTCACAACGCTGAACATGGACATGGCACCCGAGCGCGATTTTGACGAATCGTTTCCTGGCGATGCAACGATTCTTCCCGTTCTTTCATCGATCTCAGCACCTCATCGTTGGGTGCGATTCTTTGCGCCGGGTCGTCCTATTACCTCATTGGATCTTTCTGGCGTTAGCTGGAGAGTGAGCCTGGATCCATGGGACGAAGTCCAGCGCACACTGGGCATCCTTCTTGCTTCTGGAGCTGAGCTACGGAATCTATCTCTTTTTGTCTTTACGCAAACTGTTCCAGAGGTGACAACATATCTGACTTCATGTTGGCCGCACAGTCTGGTAGATCTTCGTCTGACAGTCTGGGATCTCTGTGGGTTTTACAGCTCTCGGCGTCAGCGTGTACGACGAGCTTCTGAAGCTATGCCGAAGCCGGACTTGGACCATTTCGATAGCCGACTTGTGGATCTGGACGGAGATTATCCACGCCCCGATTCTCCACCACTTTCGCGCCCTTCCTCGCCATCCGAGGGCAGCATCATCGTCGAGGGACCAGCGGCTTTCCAGCCGAGCGACTTTTCGAGAGAGGATGGAGACCGACGCCCCTTGTCTTTCGCGGCACGTCCCGAATATTTGCAAGATTTCAGTCTGACTGATAAGTTGCTCAACGACAGGAATTGTTGAATCTGATTTGCGCCGCCAAAGTCCATTTCCCGCTATCTCTTCGCAGGTTCAGTTTGACCTCGGAACATCTTTCCAACCGCCAGGATGAACTGCCCCCCTATGCTCTGTATTCACGAGCATTAGAATGTGATGCGGTTATGTCACTCGGCCACTTGCTCCATCATCTTTCGTATCTTCGATTCGGTAGTACAATGTCTTGGTGGATTCGTCTGAACGGCTTTCAAAATGCCTGGTATGATGGGTACGTTCGAATTCTTAGGGATTACTCGATCTGAATTTGGTCTTCCAGCAACGAGAGACTTGCCTGAATTGGAAGTCTGCACACAGGCCGGGAATGTAACAAGAATTACGGCAAGCATTTAGCTAGCATTGTGCGCTGCAGCATGAGTACTTATGCGGAGGCCCCTAGTCTAACTTTTGGCAATCTCTGCATGATCATCAACGCACGGTCTCGATCGACAAGCAATCTACCGACCGATTACAGTATGCGACCTCAACTTGCCCTATCTCCCCACATTTCGCGCAGCGGTATTGCGGCTTGGTCATCTTAGCGTTACAGAAGTGCGGGCATTCGATGAATGCGCAGCGCTTGTGCTTGCTGTCTATAGCGAATGCCCGCAGAAACATCTCGCGCAGCTTCTTGATCCCTGCCGGGGGATACTTCGTCAGACGGCTCAGCTGCTCGATGCCTTCACTCAGGCCGATATGTCGACTTGCCGGCCGCGTAAATGGATGATCTCGGATCGTAGAGGCGATGATAAAGCTAGCGGAGAAGACTAGAACTGATCGCACCCTAGACAAGGACTCGATAGCACTAGGAGCACGCATCGACAAATGCAGTGCGTCCAAGGAGGATCTCATCCGGCGCCCGTTTTCTCTCTTCCCAAAATGAGCGGGACTCGGCCACAAGCACATCCCAACCTGATGCAGAGATGTACGGTCGACTTTTCTTGCCCGTTGACGAATCCGAGAAGCTTGCCGCAATGCTTTCGCAAAGCTCGATGAGGTTGTCCGCGAAATCTGCAAGCTGACCGACGCGCATCTCTTTCTCGCACCAAATACGTGCATCGTGCAAGTGGGAAGATGTCGCCGCGGCGCGCGCCATTCCATCCGGCACATAGCGCCTTCGGTCCGAAAGGGTCGTCTGCTCCCAGTGCATTCAAGCTCCCATCCAACTGTCACGAGCGGCACAATCTTCAGCTGCGTTCGTCGGATCTGGGCCCATAGCACATCGCTCTTCCGCTTCTGTTCGTAAGGATCCAAGAGAGTCAGTCCGCGGCTCATGATGTTGCTCAGCTCCTCGAGCTACGCGGCTTCGTTCGAGAAGCAGTGAGCGGGCGACTGGAAGACGTCTTCCCAGAGCGCGTCCCGCCGAATGGCGTTGGAAGTCTCGAAATGGAGGAAAGTGTGCGGGGGTGGAACTGTCATCGAGAGCGAGATTGGAGAAGAAGAAAAGGATTAAACTTGGGAAGTTTCGGCCTCAAAGCTAGCCACACAGCCACCTTGCCCTATTAGTACATGAAATCCCAATGCTCCTTCTGAGACTCCAGAGAATCCAAACGGGGATCAAAATCCTTCCTGATAATTTATGAATCGATTTAAGATTCATTCTGGGTGTTTACATGGGAATTACGCAATCGAGCGAGTTGCATTGCATCTGCGCGAATGAGGCAAGTCACCTGGCCGCACTGTGAGATGGAAAGAGACTACGCCAGCCAAGTTGCCTCGGTACCTGGCTTAGACTTAACTCAAGGTGTCGGGTCTCAAATCGATGCACTGGCAAGAGCTTCCAGGGCCTGCAGCATCAGCTCGTCTCGGGGTACATAGCGAGTATTAATGGTAACAGTAGTAGTAGCAGCAGCAGCAGCACTAGTAGCAGTAGGAGCAGCAGTATAGTACTAGATACGTGCTCTCTGTGCTAGTTGACGGGAAATGCTCCCAGCGAACTTTTATTGCCTGGCTGTGTAACATCCATCCTGCTTCTGCTCATCATTGCCAATCAGATTGTGATGGTGTGCTCCGTCCGTGTCTCAGATCTGAGTGATCAAGGCTGGCAGAAAATTACAGAACTTATGATAGTGGTCTAGATGAAATGCTTCTCGCGCCAGAATCCAATCCATCTCTCCGCGTCGTCCACGTCTAGAGGCTTCAAGTCTCTGAAGGCCGGACTATACTCTTGCGACACCGACGTCGCAAACCGCACGGCACCCGTTCCGACCTCTGCTGACTGGAAGAACTCGAGCAGCTTGATGCCGGGCTGATAGGATGGTATCAGAATCGGATCTTGTTCTCCTTCACGGGAAACACTCACCACTCGCTCAAAGTCCTCCGCTGTCGCATCCACCGCGGCCGTCTTGAGCCGTTCGATCCACTCCGGAAATGCGATCAGCGGGAGATGGAGGGCGCCCGCAATCCCACTCATGATGGTGTCCCATGTAACGGGTCTGGGATGGACGAGATTCATCGCACCAGGCGCACGGACCTCGCACAGCGCAACATCGACAATGGCTTGCGCCACGGCTTCAGGCGAGAGCCACGCGTTCATTCCGGCTGGCTCAGACGGTAAAGCACCCAGCGCGATGCTGGATTTGATCAGACTCGGAACCCAGTCGGACGTGGACCAGGCTCCTGTTCGAGCAGAGCCGCAGATTTGGCCAATGCGAAAGGAGGTGGCATCCAGTCCGGAGGCAGCGATGATCTGCGCTTTGTTTCAGGACAGGGTTTGAGAATCATCTTTGAGAAGCGTACCCGCTCGGCTACATATTTGCTCTCCCCGTAACCAAGACCCAGCGCAGCGCTCGGGTCCAGCTGCAGCTCTTCCGGAAATGGACCTCGTTTCGGATCCCAGCCGACAGCAGTCCCGACTGATGACGTGAAGAGGAGGCGGACTCCAGCATCCGATGCAAGGGCAAGATCTATCAAGTTGCGCGTGCCTTTGATGTGGGGCTCGAACGAGGCCAGCGACTTGTTGAAGTCGAGAGTCCACGCGTTATGAATGATCACGCTGATAGTGTTCCTTAGCTTCAACGCTGGTGAGTACTGCAGAGCAAGGGGGAAGATGAACGCGCTCACAGTCTCGAACGCAGACGGGTCTAAATCGGCAGCAGTACCCTCAAGGAATACGAGTCTGTCCGAGTCGAGCAGAAGCTTCGCATCCAGCCCACGCTCCAAAAACGCAGCGCTTTGCCGAGAGGCCGAACTCGCACGAGAGCTGTACCGGTTCAATGCGTACACGCGGCGAATATACGGGTGCTTAAGCAGGATCTCGAGCAAGTGAGAGCCGAGACCACCAGTCGACCCGGTCAATAACACGACCTCGCCACTTTCCGGCCGCGTTTTCGCGCGCAAGCTACCGCTCAATCCGGCCGAATACTTGAGGATCATCTGTTCGACAGCAACCTTGGGGTCCACAGCTTCCAAATGCGTTCCGAGACAGAGAGCAGACACAGCGGCGGCGAGAGCCTCGATCGTGGGATGCGAATACACGAAATCTTGCGGAATCTTGAGTGCAGCGGTCTTGAAGTCCAGGTTTGATGAATTGTTCATCGCGCCAACAATACGATGCCGGAGGAAAGTCGCGTTGAGACTGTCGAAGCCCTGGTCAAAGATATCACCTCCCGGGTGGATTTCCTTGTCCGAGAGCGATGAAGCGTGTGCTGACAGCCACGGAACGAGGTCAGGTGAGGTCCAGCTGGGAGGAGGAGCTATCTCGTTTGCGGAATGAGTGCTAGCATCGATCGTGTCGTACCTGAGATATGTAAGCACTTTGATGGTATCCAAAGCTAACATGAACTTACAGCGCGTCAATCTCGGCACGATATAAGGCAACGGTGGCTTTCTTGACAACAGTGCCTTTCGGTGTGCGGATGAGAGGTTTCGCACGAGAAGCAACAAGGATCATCTCCTTATAGATCCGGGCAAACGCAGGCGCACTTTCATTCGCTTCTTGCACCTTCTCCCTGTGTAAAAGCGAGTCAGCACCGTTACAAGTTGTCAAAAACAAAGTGCGCACCAGACAAGATTCCGGAACTTGGCAACCTCTGCAGTGTCTGTGGTGTTCACCTCATATCCCGCGCTGGGCTCGATCAGCACCCCGACCTGGTTTCTTTCGCGACCGAACATAACGGCCCCAGAAACATGAGGGCTAGAAAGCATGATGTCTTCCATTGGGCCAGGCACCGTTTTTTCTCCGTTGGCCATAATGAGCACGTCATCGAGCCGCCCAACGACCCGGTAAAGATCGGGTCTTGTGGGATGCCGTTCGAACAGATCCTTGGTCGAATAGCCCTGGACATCGGGAAGATTCTCCACTGCCGGGTGAAGGCCGTCGCCGCTCTGATAGCTGTAGTAAAAACGGAGAGCTGGACTTGAAATCAAGTGACTCACCAGGAACTGGAGCTCGAATGTGTTGACATCTCCCTCTGGGACCCATCGAAGTTTCGCTGTTTCTGCGAACTTGAACCACGCCCAGTCTCGAGGATCGTCATCAGCCCGTATGACATTCGGCATGCCGACTATGCCTTGTAAATGCGATGCAGGGAACCAAGTTATAAGCGACGACTTACATTCCGTAGCCCCATAAAGCGTTACAAGCTTCACACCTTGCTCAACGAGTTCGTCGCCAACCTGGAGCGTCAATGGCCCTCCACCGAATGACTTTCCCACAATTCAGTACCCGAAAGCATCACAATCGCAACACTTACGACTATATTCAAGCTCTTCAGATAGTCCACCGCTTCCGTAGAACGAGCCCAATCCAAGATGAACGCAGGGACGGCAAGCACTCCATCAGCTCTCGCGAGCTTTGAATGGTGCAGGGCAAGATCTGACGTCGGGTTGGGTGGGACGTGGTACTCTGTCGCTGTCGAAGCGGGAGGCAAGATACATCCCGTGCCGCCTTTTGCCAACGGGAAGAGGATCTGCATAAGGCAGCCCATAGCGTGGAATGGCGGTAGAGTACCGATCGCGAAGCGAGGTGCGTACGCTGTGAGCTGGTTGAATGCACCTACCGGGAGCGTTTATGTTGAGTCGTCGTGTTTCAAAGAAGGATTGACACGTACCGAGAGTCGATATCTCTAGTAACAGACGATGGGACACATGAATCGGTTTGGGGAATCCTGTGCTTCCACTGGAGTGCAAGCACAATGCGATGTCGGTTGCGGGTGGAATGGGGTCAGAGACCAGGTACGGCGTAAATTCGTCAGCTACAGACTCGTGCCCGAGATGAGGGTACAGCTCTCCCAGTAAAGGGATCTCGTCCACAGACAACTCATACGTCAGATCCTTCGCAGCAAGCTCAGATACCACATCGGCAATGAGGTGTCCCAGGGAGGCTCGTGTAGTGAGGACACGATGACAGTTGGTCGACTGGAGCAAATGCACGATCGCTGCGGGTGAGTTGCGGTGAGAAATTGGGAAAGGCTGGAGTTGACACGAATTGGATGAGCGAATTGACGTGACACCTCACGTGATCACTCACAGTAAGGCCTGCTCTGATGCATCCTACGACGATGGATTGATAAATGAGAACGTCCGCGAGAGCAACGATCGCCACGAATCGTCCCCTCTCTCTGACCTGTATCTCTGCTGATATCAGGTGAGCGGCGCGATGGGCGGCCCGTGCGAATTCAAAGCGAGTGATGTCGGTTAGGACGACTCCCGACTGAGGATCTTCTTTGGCGAACGAGAAGGCTGGGCTGTTCTCAGGATTTTCAAGGTGAAAGTCTAAGATCTGCGGCAGGATGAGAGAGCGATTGAGAGGCGCGAGAACACTGCTGGAAGCGCCATTGTAATCATTCAATGAAGACATTGCACGTTGCTATGGGGTATGTAGCAGCCGGTAGCTCTCAGTCCTGCTTTTTGAGATCTTTCATGCCGGGGTTATTGTGTTCATCCGACCCTGATCTCGGGGCGTAGTTGGTAGCCGTCCCGGTGAAGGCTGTCATTTGCACTGTGTAGTGATAACATAATCACGGCCGTCAAGCTAGAAGAAGTCACTGGCCCGTTGCTTCCGTGGGAGATGACGTGTGCAAGATGGTGTCGAGGGATTCAACACAGACCATGAAGGTGTCCGCTGGCGACGGACGCGTGCGAGCATCGCGGACTGACATGTGAGATTCCCAGCGCTTCTGCGTCATTCGAAGCGGAAGGTTGATCTTTCCAGTTCAAGGATCATGAAGTGTTATTTATAAAACTTCATCCATAATGTTCAACAATTTCTTGTGTATGAAATTCGATAGACACAATCATGACTTCAGCTGAAACTGTCTACCCCGGTGTTTAATCTGGCAGCCATGATGATTATGAACCATTATCGGGAATGTCGATTGAGCGAGGACATAATTGAACATTCAATGAGTAGTTCGTTCAGATAATCTCGTTCCTGAATATTGATGAATCTAAACTGCTCCGAAGCCCTTGGTCAACGTCTATTCTCTAATTAGTACGGATGTCGGCAGAGGTAACCAAGATCGTTCGACAGTCGATAAGATTACGATTAGATGGGATGAGTATTCAGCCGGTCATCAATTCATAAACGTCAGGCGCCCAATTAATACTATAGACTTGGAGATAATCGCCCTCTAGACTTTCTTTCCCGGCCCCAGCCAGGTGTTTCAATAGTCCTTTGATCATACAACTAGTACCATGACGATCATCTCAAGCCTCGCGTGCTCGCATGCAGTCTCGATCTGCACCCACGTCGAATCTTGTACTACATACGCATCTCGTCAGCTTGATTGTAGCCGACGATCTGGATACCATAGCGCCTCTTTTCCAGGTGCGCGCTAGTGGTTCGGTGTAGTCTCATCACATCTGCGAGTCCTTACCGCTTTCTTAACGTGCAGGGTGCTGACGTGGGGGTAAGTGGACCTAACCTTTGACCCAGTATTGACTGATGACAGGACTTGTGCCGGGGTTGACGTTAGCGAAGACGGTGTCGGTGCACAAGGTTTGTATCCGGACTTCAACCAGCCGTCGGGTCTGTACGACATTGCTGCGGTCCCTAGTAAGCGACGCTTTGTCCATCCTCAGGGAAGTTTACGATTCGTCCAAGGATACTCTCCTTTCTCCTGAGCCACGAGCGCGGTCAGCGCAACGTCTGCTTCGGGACTGTCAGCCTAGACCGCCATCAAGAACTAATCATCCGACTTATAGTACTACTCACAGCGATGACCGGCCAAAGCTTTATAGTCCATTTCAGAGACCCGTGAGACGACCTGTTTGACCAGAAGAAGCCTCATGCAGAGCTAATTTAACGCAACCTGAGATTGCTAGCCCCGGTGGAGGATCAGCCGTCCACCCTGAGCAAGTCCACAATCCTCGAGCTGAGCGCGTGTGGATTCCGTGAGCATCATACCGATCGATCGGTTACCTTGTTTGAACGAAACCTTAAACCACGATTCCGGTTGCGACTCAGAGATCCAGAGAAGAGAGTGAGCAGGTTGAACCGGCAAGTGATGCGCGTTCATTCAGGAACCTGGATATTGCCCGCTATTTCTGGCTCCTCAGGTGGACGCACCCTCGATGAGTCCCCGACTCTGAATAGCCGTATCTGGGATGGGACTTGGACAAAGGTTCTCATACTCCGGGCTCTGGAGAATCCACGTGAATGCCTGCTATGGGCCACTCTTGCGTAAAACTATCTAATCCCAAGTAGAGATCTGTTTCGTTCTCCGTGGTTTGGTGTTTCCGTCTTTTGATGTCAATTCTCAAAACCGACAGGATGAATGATACACTGGGAGCAGATCTGAGACCAGACGGACTGAAACTTTTTGGAGCTCATCAAGTCACCGATTGAAGGAAAAACCGACAGTCCTTCACGAGAGCCCTGTCCTCTTCTCGCACATCCACCCTCCGGGTCCCAGACCACAATGATCCATCGTCGAATCCAAGCGGTCTAGTCCTCCCGCCGACAAATCCAAAACTGGAGCTCTTGGCTTCCGTGCAGCGTATGGCGAGGATGCGGTGAAGGATAGTTGGAGTGTGAAACCGCGTCTCTCCCGCAAGGTTGTTACTGGGCTCATCTCCAACTCCTGATTAACAACGCACGATGGACTCGACGGCGGTGGCAGAGGAACGATGAAACCGCCCGTTCGTAGAGGGAAGAGAGTTCTGACTCGGGGTTGGGTCTGAGCCATCTTAGAGTCGTCTCACCGTCCGTCCAACTCAAATACTCTTGAGGTGAGACACCAAGCGGGTTCCCCTCTTAGCGGACTCGGCTGTTTGAGTCTCAATGCGCAGCCCCATTAGAGGCTATTGAATACTAAGCATGTGTGTTACAGGTGTGCGTGAGAGAGTGCATTGAACACATTGAAATTCAGGCGCCATCAAAGCAGAGTTCCCATTCCCCATCCACGGATATGATCCGCAGATCCCGAAGCTCGTCATCCACAGCGATTCCCCTTGCGCCGAGAAAATCGGTCCGCTGAATCCCAACGGAGCGCACGATCGTTTCCGCGCCGCGCCCGAAATCTCGACGCGAGTCTGCACATCGTTTCTCGAATGCAGAGGTGATACGCTCGCGCATAGAGCAGCACGAGTTCGTGCTTGGTTGAGATTCATCCTGCGCGGAGTATCTCTCCAGTTCGATTTCCGAGACTGGCTGGAGGAGAAAGTTATTGACCGCTTCGCGGACCGCGGCCAGGGAGACGCATTTATCGGCAGCGTGAGGCCGGATCTCGAGTTTCCAAGGGAAAAGCGGCGAGGCCAGAACGAGGCAGGCAGTTGGCGGATCCGTCGCCGGGTCCAAATCAGAGTCGACCAATTCTGGTTCAGGGGAGTGGGGAGGGGGGCTCGTTGGCGGAAGAGGATGGCAGTCATACAACGGCCGGGAATGCCGCAAAGGGTGCACGGGCAATGGAGTCGCAGATGACTGAGCGCACATCGACATCGTGAAGGAGGGGTTCAGAGAGAGCATGCTCGGAGGGCTCGCCATTTATACGAGAGAGTGATGGACGCGGCCCTCAGACGGCCAAAGGCTGCATGCGTCTCCCACGCCGAATGCCTCGAGATAGTCGACCTGTTTCAATACCGCGGGGCCCGGGACTACCATTCTCATTCGTCGCCCAGTCGCTCTCCCTCCGAAGTTCTGATACCGGAGTCGAGCGATCGAGAGCCATGCGAGAGTTGACGCTTCCCAGATAGACAGGATCGTTGGAGCGTCCCAGTTGTAACACCCCGTGGACGATAAGCACAGCTGGATTGCGTCATCTTCGGAGAGCACTGCTGCTGGGCTGAAGGTTGCCGAGTTCTGTAGAGCAGTGAAGGTGACTGAGTTCATAGGTCTCGACGCCACGGCAATACCACTCTACTTACATGCTTGTCGATTAGTCTCTATTCAGCTGGGATCCAGTGGAACATACCCAATCCAGCTGTGAGTCTATGAACGCCATTCGCTTATGTCGTGGTCCATGACCAAGCCATGCTCCGACTGGCGTTCTTCATGGTCAACATATCACACTGATTGAGAGGCTGACCGCACTCACGGATCTGCACCCAACGAAGAAACCCTCCCGCCAGACCGTCTCGAAAAAAATTGCTGGGAAGAGAGCATCAAGTCGCCTGCTGCGCTGAAAACCGACAGTCGCCACAATCGACGTGACTGCGACAATCGAGTTAGTGTCGTGCCCGCGGAACCGTTCGTGACTGGGAGAGGGAAGATTTTCCGCAGATCACAGGGGAGGTTGACGCGCAACGAGCGCTAGCTGAGAACGACTGGTTGAAGGACGCGACCGGCATAACTGTCACTTTCAGAAAGCTGCTAGGAGTGAATGAGTACTTTCAAGCACGTGAATTTGATCTTTCTGACCAGTTTGCAGGAACCTGATAACTCGGAGTACTTCACCCCCGCGACCAGCGACGACTTCCCCACGCTCAGCATAGAAAACTTCCGATTCCACCAGCGCACGCTACAGTGTCTCATGTACTCCTACCAGCATCAGCATCGACCTCAGTTTGTGCAAGTCCATAGGGAACAACGACAGTTCGGCGGCGACACTTTCATTCCTGCCCTTACACTGCAGGTACCCCCCTGTACGGACGTGAAACCTAGATCCTGTTTTCGTCCTGGTCTTTTTGAACTGGGGACGATCACAAGACCGATTCAAGGTCAACGACCGAGGTAAAGACGGTTCATTCTAGATAGTTATAATGCGAAAACCATGTGTATGTATGTGTTGGAACTTCTCCGACCAGGTGGGCTGTATGGATGATATCATAAAGAGTGGATAGAAGAGCCAAGATCATGTCCGTGAGGTGATTAGGAAGGAGCAGTGTACAATATATGCGCATACAGGCCGCCGCTCTTCATGACCTCAGCACAACTCCCACATTTTGACCGAGTCCCTACAGCTTCGTAAGCAAGCGGACCGGATAAGACGAGGAAAGCCACGTACACAACCATCGCACGTTGCTTGACGTCTTGAGGCCAGGTGGGATACCACTGGCTCTGAGCTCGGAGGAAGTCCAATGGCGCAGTCGCCGAGCCATCGAGCCAGGGTTTCTCCGGTCCATCGGGGAACCATCCGTTCGTCCCTCCAACAGCAACATTCATGATCAGATAGAACTCCTGGTCAAATGGCGCAGCATTGGTTCCGTTGATCCAGGGGTTCTGCAGCACCACGCTCTCCGAACCGTTCTGCACGACCGTGGGGAAGTTGCCCCGGTCCCAGAACGGTTTGTTGAACTTGAGCTCGAGCATGTGCGTCAGCCGCGAGTCGACATACATCCGGCTGAGGTCGGTCAGAAGGATCCATGAGAGAGTACACAGTATCAGCTCACATGAAGCCGTCCGTCCATTCCAGGGCGTAGGTGTGGAATTGCTCATCATAACGACTGCGACGTTCCGTCCACCAGCCATACGTCTTGGCAACGGCGTCCAGGAACGTGGCAGGCCCCCAATTCAACGAGGAGCGAACATAGTTGACACCCTGTTTGGGATAACTCGGTCCATTACCGCGCGCCTCCATGATATCGATCTCCCCACTGAGTGGCCATCCGCCGTACGCGTTGTCCACCGGAAGCATCCAGATAGCAGGCCACATCCAGTCACCGGTGGGAAGCTTCGCTCGCACTTCGACCCGACCGAATCTATCATTCTGCGTCAGCATAGAGAGAATGGGTGAGCGGCGGCAATCACTTCATCTTCGCACTGCGTCGCGTGCTAATGCGGGCACTCATGACCGGCGGAAGAATCTTCCCCTGCGTCGCATTCGAAACAGCCGAGCACGCGGCTAGGTAGGCCGGGAGATCGAGTGGAGCATCCGGGGCTGGGAATAGTCAGGCTCACGGAAGGGTGGCTGTTATCACACGCGATCGCACCAATTCCGCCGGATCCAGTTTCTCCCTCGGTCGTGTTGATACCCGTGCTGCCGTGTCCTGAAGTCGTGTAACCTGTCGAGTGGGTGATGTTGTACGTGCAGCCCGTAACATTGTACACCGCGCCGTCGAGGATGTTGGACAGTGGAATGACATCGCTCGTCAATGTGGGCACCAGGTACAGCTGGTTGTTCAACACGAACGAATTGCTGTCCGAGTTGGATGTCATCTCGAATTCGCCGTTACCGAACCCGCTGGCATCAACCTCGCGGAAAAATGTGCCCCCGTCCCCGGCGACACCGGTCCCGAAGAGAGATTCGGTTGTCGCAGTTGAAAAATCTTCAATGAGCACAGGACAAAGAGGTTGCTGGAAATCAAATAAGAATGGAATGGGCTTTACATCGACCGCCAGGCTGACCGTAATGAGCAAGACGCTCTTCCACCCCGTATAGATTCGCGCCGCACCAGCACCAGCACCTGGAGAATGAATGAGAGCGGTAATTTCACCAGGAAAGAAAAACGCACAGAGAAGAATTGTCAGATAAGTGATCCAGTAAGCCACGCGCGAGTACGGATCTTTCTTGGTGATCCATGGCTTGTCCAGCTTGGTAGTCAGCACAGGGCGTGCGCCCTTCTCCTTCTTCTTCCCGTCCTCACTCGGAGTGGGACTCTGATCGAGAATAGCAGTGCTCTTGGGACGCTCACGTCGCAGGCGGGCACTCGTGTAGCTCGGTTGCGCGTATATGGTCATCGGCCGGGAGGGCGGGGAGGCGAACGTATCGCGACGACCGCCTGGTGTAACGTTGCCCGGTGTAACACCCACTGTGCCCGGATTGGAGAGCGATCCTGGGTTGGAGCCTGTTCCTGGACGATTGGAGCTGAATGACCCGCGCTGATCCATGGGCTGTTGGCCGCTGGTGCTAATCCAGGACGAGGTGCGCGGGAGACGAACGTCGACAACACTGCTGGCGCGGGTCGAACCCGGAGAGCCCGCGAACGGGTACTCGGCGGAGAAAGACTGCACCGAGGCCGGCGGGGAGAACGGGTTTTGAGCGGGTGGGTTAGGGGTGGTCATAGCGGCGTGGGAGTAAGGGTCTGCAGAGCGAGCGGGTGTGTGAGGAGTGAGGAAGGACAGCGAGCGCGGGGTGTGCGGTGGAGAAGCAGGCGCGGAGTGAGACTCCTCGTGTGGGGTGTTCGGTGTTGTTGATCCTGGGCTGCCAGACGGTCCTGCAGCGAAGGGGCGGTGGGGAGGAAAGAACTCGAGGGGCGCGGGACGGGACATGGCGAAAGTGATACTCTTATTGGGACGCGCGACGCTAGGGGGAAAGCCGAAAGAGGTTAGCGCAGACGATAGTCGGATGCAGTGAACGACAGCAACGGCTTCTGCACGACCTTCTGAAAGCTGCGTCGACGCGGAAAGCAGAGAAAGCCCCGCCTGTGCGCCACTTTCTCCGCTCTTGTAATAAACCGTGGCAGATCCACCTGTCTTGAGCTTTCATTCTGCCTGCTTCCCATTCGAATCGAGTTGTGCATCTGCAGCTGGCGGAAGATCTAGATTGACACGCCAAAACGCTTCGTTTCGGCATGAGCATGGAAGCTCAAGGTACACGGAAAGCACGCCACCGGCCGGCATCGGATTTTTTTTCTGGACACAGCCAGTGGATGGATGGGCAAGCAACAGCGACACATGCGAGGTTCCTATCAAGGGACGCACGATGGACGGATAGATGGACAGAGACAAAGGGCCGTGAACATGACTTGAGCATCTGTTTGTTGTGATGGACGAGACGAAGGAGAAAGTGCCTAAAGCGGTATAGAATCCATCAGAATCCTGGCACCGCCACACACAGGATTTCATCTTATTCTCACCAATATTCAGTTGTGGTTTCTTTTCACGCTGTCGTCGGTATTTCCGATCTTGAAGCATGAAGGCTGTTATACGGCGTTTTTGAGGCTTGCGGTCAAATCTTATCGCCGCTTCGGGTGCAGAGGACCTCCGGATAACGATACAGCGACAGGCCGGTGCGCACTGAATGGAAGATACTGTTCCTAAGACACGTCTAGCCTCAGGATGACCCATTCTGCATGAGACCTACACCACACTCCATCTTTGGGCGCGTTTCGTTCGGCAACTCCCACTGATCAGTCAGCAACCAAGAATTGTTCCACCATTTGCGTTCATTTCGGAGAATGTATCATACCAAGGGGATATGCGCCCTTCTCAGTCTAGCAGCGGGCCAGCAAGAGTACTTTACACCCGGTACCGTGTCTGAGGCTTCATGTGGCTGAGGCTTCATGTGGATCCTCATATTCTATGAGCGTACTTCTAGTGCGCCACTTCATCCATGGGCGGGTCCGCGTCGCCGCTGGTCCCGGAGGGATATCCAGAATCGGGTTGGTTTTTCGTTCTTGTTCCGCTGCAAGACTAGACAATACTCTCGAGTGTCTTGCACTTTGGGCTTGCATTCTCGAACGAAAGTGTGGCGCTGTCTCTTGCGTGTAAGTTCTTTTCCTCACACCGTTATCTGGATGTTGTGAATCGTTTTTTTTTGCCAGGGCCTCCGTCACCTTCTCTTCCAGGGTCTGCTCTGATGCGAAATCGACTTCTCTCAGCTTCGACGAAAGACAGCTCCGTTCTGGTGCTCCCTGACTGTCGAGTTCCCCGCACGCGCTGTTCCTTTCCGAGGCCTGAGTTGATGGACTCCGTACGATCCACATGGACTAAGTGGTTTCTTGCGTTCTGACAATGAAGGTTCCAGGACTCCATCCACCGGCGGAAAGCGGAAAGGTTGGAATACGCCTGATCCCATAATTATTGCAGTTACCTAACACCGGACCTCACATCTGGCAAACCTGACAGGTTAGAACGCGCTAGGCGTCGTTTGGAGTTTTCGTAACCTGCTGTTCGATGGGTGATGACGCTTCATTCTGTGTTTCGGGTTGACCGCCGGCTAGGGCACAGTTGGCATGCATGTCGTATGGATTCAGGCTCAGGCTATCCTGGACACGAACTCCACTGTCGCCCTGATTCGCAACTGCATACTACCGGCTCCAACGCCATTATCGCTGCAGACGTAAATTAACCGTCTTGCTCGCTCGCTGGAAGCTGCACACGATGAAAGGGACATGTGGATGTGCAATCCGTGTTAAGACGGTTCACCCTACCTCGAAGGCGATCAGTGGATGTCTCATGTAGAACACCAGACTCGCCGTTGCTCCACCAGCTCCGAGCCCTTGCAGGGACGGCGATGCTTCGGGGTTGTGAATCCGTGCACTCCTCGGACACCCGCATAATAAAAATTATTTGATCCTTCTTTGATTGATAAACGCCGAACAAATCCCTCGGATCTAAGCGAGATGGTAAATCGATAAGATTACACAGGGATTTGTTCACCGACGGTGCGATTTGCCCTCTGGAGTTAGCGCCAGTGCATTGTCATTTTCTGCGAGGTGAATATTTCGCTACAAGCTAGTGCCGACTCGACGATCCCCTGAAGAGCAGATGACTACTCGGCTAATTTCTGAACCCGCGCTGGAATTTGGGATACTTATTACTTTTTTCTGCTCGCTTGCGACCAGGAGAGCTGAATTCTTAGAACTGTAACATGTGCTTGCCAGAACTTGTTAGGAGTTTCGAAGTCGAATCTGTGGGCATGGGCGGCCATTCCGTTTTGGGACGCGAGCGCTTTCTCTACCACAGGGATCGAACATCGTGTGTAGCTTGCTGGTGCCCGGCGTGCTTCAAAACTCGTCGGTGAGATAGAATCAAATGCCTGTCACATCCGCTTTGTCTTCGCTTCCCGGACCGGTCACCGGTTTAGTAGCAGGTATGGTCGACCCAAGTTCGAGACCGCATGGCAACACTAGTCGCTGGGAATTTCGTTCGTTCGCTCGGCGTGGATAGACGGCTTCTGGTGTGTATGTGTTGCAGGGAAGATGTATTCTTGCCCCACCGTGTCTTCAGGGTACTTCTTCACTCCAAGCGAACGCCGCCAGAACCCGCGCGAGCACTGGAATTTCTGGGGCGATATTCCTCCAATTGGAAAAGACCCATACACGCAACGAAACCACGTTCCCAGGCTCACCGGTTTATTTCTGGCTGGAGTACTTATCATAGAGGTGTTGTGAGAACACAATCATGCGCTTCTCGGATCTGTGCTTCCTTCTCGGCATCCGGTACCGCGGTCTGAGAAGAGAGCGCGACATGCGTGAGGACCCGGACAGGCTGACTGAAGATGCAGGACGGGATCGCGAAATGTCGGAGGACGGGGATCAAGTGCGGTGAAAAGCCCGGGTACAGATGCATACATAGCACAGAGCAAAGTATTTGGCACCAGGATCCAACGAGAAGTAGATAGAACAGCCTTTTCCCCAAGCATGACATGCACAATTGTCCGATAATCGGAGTCGCGGAGATTCTCCGTGGCCCGAAACTTCATAAAGTGCCATAAGCGCAGTGGGAACAAATCAGTCACCTGTAAAAACCAACAAATCAACAATGATGGCAGGGGCCACCGCATGGAACCAGGACCTGGAGACCCTGCTCAGATGCTGCCCCCCAACTCTAACAGATTTGCCAAAGGGGGAACAATAAGCGACATAATCTCATTCGAAGGCGACCTGATCTATCTCGGCGACTCGGAGGCGAAGAGGAACATGCCGAATGTGTGCCTTGGATGGCGGACAGGATTGTCGGAGCAAACATAGTCGGACTGGCCCGTGAGTGGTGGCGCAGATCAAGCGGTGAGAACATCTCCTACGCGTGAATTCCTCAGGCTTTGAAATGAGAGAGATAGCTTCATTGACGAGGTAGAGATAAGATAATGATCGGCGACCTGAGAAAGATCGATTAATAAAAAAACAAGCTCACAGACGGCGAGAAGAACAAGGAGAATCACCTGCACACGAGAATAGAACCAACAACATATTCCAATCTAGGGTCTAGAACATAACCGATGGCTATCGTAAGTATATCGTGGACAACCTTCTGTCCGTCTGATCTGTGGGCAGACGCTTGTGGTGAGACAAGTCACGCTTCACTGCCACGGCGTGAGTGGCCGCTGTCAGCCACATTTTCAACGCACCCTAACGACAAGCAGAGAATTGTCGCAGATGGATGGAACAATGCGTCGAAGGGCCGGGGGCCGTTTCATCTGGCCGGAATGGCATTGTGAATGACGACGTAACTGACTCCCCTCAGTCGGTCGTTCATCGAGCGTGCAGACCAACTCGGTCGACACCGGCGATACTTTTGATTGCACAGCGTGGGGCGTTGGTCGGGCCGATCATCTCCCGATGATTACTCAGGTCGAATGAATGCTGCGTTAAAGCGTATCATGGCATCAGTGATAGGCAATGAGTCTTTGAGTGACATTGACTTGTGTCTTGCTCTTGCCGTCGCTTCTTGTCGCCCGCCGAGCCGTGCGGACGTAGGGCTGCTGGGATTGTGTCAAATTCTGATCCTGATTGGAGATTCACTTTGACCCACCAGCCCGGAGAAACTCCAGTGCGTCGTGCTGTCGTTGAGAGTAGTTTGTAGCCGGCGAGACAATTGGGTTGGGGGGTGGACCCACAAGCCACCCGCAGTACTTAATTAAGCGCCCAGTCTAGCCCGATATATGTTGCCGTCGGAAGGAAAGCACGATAAAGCCGGATGGCGATGCAGATACCAAACACAGACAAGCACATCAAGCTCACACTCCACCCTTCTTCGACAAGGGCTAGCTCGAATCGTGAGCAGCTACCGTGAGGCTAAGACTAAACGCGCAAGGACTATGGCTTTTACCTCGGGACCAGGGACATGGTCTCCCCGGGGACGGGCTAGCCAGTAGAGACTTGGCGTTGCCAGACGTGGTATCTCGCTTCAGCTGGAACTAATTGAATGGATGAGGAAGACGCCGTTTGAATCAGATGGACAGTCGGAACTTGGACTCGCTGCACATGGAAACTTTTCACGGGCAGGCAAAATGCGTGCGTCCGGCGACCCCACCGGCAGCCCAGAAGAATCCTAAGAAATCCCCGGCACAGGCCGAGGACCCCGATCAGGGAGGGCACACTCGTTCACAGAGTGACACAAAGCAGATTTCTTCGCACTGTGACACTCTTCTCGTCTGTCCGTCAAAGAAACAGAATCCGTCTGGCGTGGATCGTGAATCTAGGGGCATCTCCGCCTCCAGTCCATCAGCCGTGTATTGCCTTGTCATGCCTCAGCTCTCTGCTTTCTTAAGCTCGCCCCATACGGGCTGGTCTCACGGTCTGGTCTGGTTTCCTTCTTCACTGTCATTTCTTCACGGCCTGCTCGTCGTCGTCGGCAATGGACTACGACTCCTTTGATGCGCTCGTGCAGTATCTCTTCAAGAAGGTGACCGTCCTCACGCGTCCCTTCCGCGTATTCTGACCATCTCTGTAGACTCAGGGTGACGCCTGGTTTAAGCCTTCGGAGGAGAATGTGTCTGCCGGTGTCTGTCTTCGCGTCGAGCCTGGCCATTTCCGCGTGTTCCCTTACGAAAACCCTTTCCTCATTCCCTTCGAGGCCGCCGTCCGTAGCCTGAACCCGCTCGTCGCTATCAAGGTTCGCAGTGCCGCCGTCCATGCAGCCTTGGCCACAGTGTATGCCAAAATCTGGATTACTCTATGACATTCATTGACGCGTTATTCAGCTCGGAAGACGCGACTGCCATCTACATCGACCATGACACGCGCATCCAGATTCTGGACAGCATGGCCCATCTCCCTCAGGCCGAGAAGGAACAATCCGGCGCATTCTTGGTGAGCCCTTCATCCCCAGTCGGATCTCTCATCGCTAACTCACACTGTCCGTCAGCGCGACGAACGTGTTCTGATCGTCTGGTCGGATGATATCGACAGCATCGTCCCTCACTGCGCCGACTTTGAGGAGAAACTGATGAAGCTCGTCTGGCGTTTCCGGACGCAGAACGGGAGTGCGTCGGTCCTCACCTCAGGCTCCGTCGGGGCCCCATCGACCACTGCTTCCGACGTCAATTTGACGGAGAAGCCCGCTCTTGGGCCGATGACGGAAGGCGGGCTTGATATTGATGCCGTTGCGGCTGCGCATGCGGAGAAGACGCAGGCGCCGCCGAAGAAGAACCGAGTATGTGGGTGGTGGAAGCTGGGCTCGAGGAGCTCTGGGCCAGCGCCCGGGGACCCAGAGAAGCAGCAGGCGCGAAAGGACATGCGCCCTATCCGGCTGTTTGCGCCGTTTTACAACGGGCTTGGGGCGGGGCTTGCTGTTTGTACGTCTTTTCATTCTCTCTGTTAGTCGTGTTATTGACGATTTCCAGTCTTTATGGCCAGTGGGACTGAGATTCTCTTGGCCGAGTGGCGCCAGGATGGCAAGGTTTCTCGGTTCGGGCTGATTGGTACGATGCCGTTCCTTGTCTGTGTTGCGCTGGTGAGCTTTTACGGGTTTGACGTCATTCATAACTAACTTTTTCAGTTCTTTGCGCTCCAAGTAATCGCCGCCATCTCATACTTGTGCGTTTTAGCTTTTCATATCCCAGGCCTTACCTGACCCTTGCCGCCAGAGTCGGTCCCATTGCACAGTATCACGAGAACTCGCGATACTACTCTGCGATCCGTCCTGAGCCGAATCCGGAAGTCGACGCTCAGCTTCCTCATGTCACGGTCGAGCTTCCCGTGTACAAGGAGAGTCTCGAAGAAACGATGTGCGCCTATTTTAACTGTTGAATCATGTCCCTAAATTGGACGCTTGCAGTGCACCATCGGTCTATTCGCTCAAGAAGGCCATGCAAACGTATGCCCGACAGGGTGGCACTTCTGCTATCTTTGTCCACGACGATGGGCTTCAGCTCCTTAGCGAGGCCGAACGTGAGAAACGGATCGCGTTCTACGCCGACCACAACATCGGCTGGGTCGCTCGGCCGAAACACGAGGATTCGCCCGAAGGTTTCAAGGTCCGCGTGCTCCCACCTGCTAGTACTAGGTGCCTGACCATGAGGTTTAGCGTGCGGGTCGATTCAAGAAGGCGTCCAACATGAACTACGGGCTGGCACTATCCCTCAAGATGGAGGCCAAGATCCTCGAACTCGAGGCCCAGGAACGGATGGGCCAGATCACCATTGGAGATGATGAGTCTCTTGAGGACCGAGCCCTAGCTCTCGCCATCGAAGAGGTGTATCAGGAGAACGGCGAGAAGTGGCGACCCTGGGCTAGGAACGCCCGCTCGTTGCGCGTCGGCGAGGTCATCCTCATTGTGGATTCGGATACGATTGTGCCCGAGGTGTGTAGACCTCGGTTCATTCATTCGTTCAATTACTCATTCATCCGAAGGACTGCTTCCGTGATGCCGCCCGCGAGTTGGCCGAGTCTCCTGATGTCGCTATCATCCAGCATGAGTCCGGTTCGTTGATCGCTTGATACCAATGCATCTTTCCGCCTAACTAGTGCCCAGATGTCATGCAAGTCGCTCACCACTACTTCGAGAACGGAATTGCGCACTTTACTCGACGGATCAACAAGTGTATCTCAATGGGCTGCGCGAACGGTGAGGTCGCTCCGTTCGTGGGGCACAACGCTTTCCTGCGTTGGTCGGCGATCCAGGATGCTGCTTTCATTGACGACGACGGCAAGACGAAGATCTGGTCCGAGAGCAACGTCTCCGAGGACTTCGACATGGCCCTCCGCTTGCAACTGCAAGGTTACAGCATTCGTTGGGCAACGTACTCAGAGGGTGGATTCAAAGAGGGGGTGTCACTGACGGTGGATGATGAGCTTAACCGGTGGCAGAAGTATTCGTACGGTGCGAACTGAACGTTTCTGTCTTGCGGCGATGTGCTCATTTGGTTCCAAGGCTGCAACGAGCTCATCTTCAATCCTATCAAAGACTGGTGGCATATGGGTCCGGTCACAAAGCAATTGAGGGTTCGTCGTATCTCTACTGCCCGCATCGCAGCCACTGAACATGGAACAGACGTTCTACTGGTCTGACGCACCAATCCACTACAAGATCAGCATGTCGTCGTACATGTTCTCGTACTACGGAATCGCTGCCTCGACCGTGCTTTCGATCGTCAACTACTTGGTCCTTGGCTTCGCCCTGAACATCGACGGCTTCTACATGCACTCGTTCGAGATCTGGCTCGCATGCATGGTCGTGTTCCCTGGGGCCGGTAACGCGGCTTACACGTTGCTCGAGTACCGGCTGGGACATCGCAATATCCTTGCTGCGTTGGTGGAGAACTGTACCTGGATCCCTTTCTTGTGAGTGGCCTACAAGTCCCTTTGATCCGCGCTGATACTAGCATCCCTCCACAGCTTCTTCTTTTTCGGCGGACTGAGCATCCATCTATCGACCGCGTTGTTGGCGCACATGTTCTCGTACAACATGACATGGCAGGCAACAAAGAAGGTCTCTGTCGTCTTGTCTCGCGTCGCGTCAGTCGCTCATTGTGAAACAGGAAGTCGAGCGATCAAACTTCTGGATTGAGGTGCCCCGGATCTGGCAGCGCTTCCGACTCGCATTCGTCATCTGCTTCGCTATCATTGCCATGATGATCGTGTTTTCGCTACCCGTCGTCACCCCGGCTTGGCAGGTGCCAGCGTCGAGTTGGGCCGTCATTCTTCCCCTTGCGTGAGTGATACATGGATGTGAACAGATTTCATGTAGCTGACGTCGGATAGTGTTGTCGCCGGCGGTCATATCTTGTTCCCCATCGTGCTCAACCCCTGGTTGATGATCTTCTCATACTGAGCACCGAACATTCCCAGTCGCATATTTTATACTCGCATAGATTTCCCCCTTGCCCACATACGATATACATAGCTATCTTATCTTATCACCATGGCGCTCATGTACACTGCCCACTCACACTCTCTGATCTTGGGTCTTATTCTTGGACGTTTGTACGAGTGTATTTAGACTCTTCTTGTTCCATCCACTCGTTTGTACTTGACAGCCACCGCCGCGAAATAGAGACAATTGCTCGGTGTTAACGCCAAGGCACTTTCAATGCGCCACGACCTGCTCCATTTGCGTATGCTGGCCGACTTCGCGCATTGCGTCGTCAACAGAGATGACTACTGCTTAATCGAATTCATTTATTCAGGACCAGCCGGGCTCATCTTGAGCCATCTCCCCTCTCTCTGCGCCGGAATGATACATACGAGGGGCACGAACACTCACCACCAAGATTGACGTTGATATATCCACGGATGTCCTCTCCGACACACTGGCTCGGAGGTTTTTTCGATGTCTAACAGATCTTGGAGTATTAATACACCAAGCGTTGAGGTCGGGGCGTTCGAGACACCCTGGAATGGCTAAATGACATATAACCGCAGTGCTATCACCTTCACGCAAAGTTGCATCTTGCACAGATTTGGAGCATCGATCGAGAGCAGCCGATTTCGCCGGTTAGACCCACCACGCCGCAAGGATTCTGTGCATTCGTCTCATATGTATACGACGAGGTACCCTTACCGCCGAATCCAGCGCTGAGGAAATGAATCCCGCTCATGTGTCAGCGAGCTAAACTTGTAGCCCGGCTCAATTCATCAAACAAAACGTTCCCATCAGAGCGTTTTCCTGTCCGCCCCCGCCGCTCTTTTTTGAAATAGTTGGAGATAAGGAACGCGACATCTGGAATGTGCTTTGTCAGGGTACGATTAACCGCAGACCGGCAACCACCCACCGAGACTTTGTTCAAAGTTGAGGCGCGGATCACAGAACGACTGGACGCCGCCTATCAGCGGTGGATATGGATTGATCGGGAGGCGCGCACCTGGTAGCGTAAGCCCAGCTCATCCTCACTCAGCTCCATACTACCACCGACACATTCAGTGACACTGAAGCCCTCATCGTTGAGTTCGCCGGTGAATTCGAGGCTCACGCCACCGAGACGAGAACCGGACTCGGCGTGAATCCGCAGAGCAGAAGTCAGTTCTGCGATAATAGTTCCGAAATTCCTCGTTTTGAGGCCAGTGCTTGATGTGAGAGTGCTGTTGAAAAGAAAAGAAAACGTCGATTGCAAGATCTCTCGAGAGCGATAACACTGCTGCGTACTTTCCATGCATAGGATCGCATATCCAAATTACGGGATGCCCCGATGCCTGCACGGCAGTGATGTGGTTCCCGAGATAGTTTTCAATCTTGCTGGCGCCGTAGCGGGTGATTAAAGTGACACGACCGGATTCCTTGTCCGGATTGACAACTAGAGAAAATGTCTTCGAACAGAAAGCCGGAAACTCAAACACGCACTGTCTAGTAGCTGCACTAGCTCCTCTCCACCCATCGACGGCCCGACTTTGATACCGATGGGGTTCCTGATCCCGCGAAAATACTCAACATGCGCTCCCGTAAGTTGTCTCGTTCGATCACCGATCCACAGGAAATGCGCGGAAGTGTTGTAATAGGCCTTCCTGGGCGCCTTATTTGCGCTGTAAACACCGGCAGGGAGAGAAAATTCCCGCGTCAGGGCCTGCTCGTACTCGAGCATCAAGCCCTCGTGACTGGTGTAAAAGTCAACCTCGCCGACCGTGCTTCGCGCACCACCTAGTTCGAAGGGAGGTCCAGAGTCCACCCCGATCACACGGCTGAAGTCAAGTCCATCAGAAAGTCCCTCGACGATCGATTCGAATTCCTCTCTGCGAAATTGAGGTTGGATTTTCATGCAGTAAAGATGAAAATGCGCACTTCAGCGACGGCGATCGGACGTGGTTCAAAGACCAGTGCCGAGGTTGATGGAGGGATGCGAAACCAGAAGTGAGTAAGGAGCGGACGTGGTTGATAGTCGCACTCGAGTGGAAGTATGCACTGTAAATCAATGTCACCATTGAGGAAGGCTTTCCGATGATGCGACACACCTGAGTAGCCTCTCTGGATCAGGTGTGCGGTCATTGGGGTCCAAGCTGGAAATCCTGAATAACGTTTCTCGACCGGGTCCTGCGCCGCTCACCCATTCACGTTATCTCCGCTGCAGTCGTGTTAGCCGCCTTTTGCTATGAAATGAAAAGCTGGAGACGCACCGGAAACTCAAAACCTCGCGATCCCCAATCTTTTCCGTTTTGCTACTGCGGGGCTTCGCGTACTGTCCGGCGATACGGCCTATGCGGACGACGGGAAGACGCGCGCCCCAAACCAGGATCAGCGAGAACGAGAGGATCAGTCCGATCTTCGCGGCGATGTTTTCCTAGGGGCGTTGGGTCAATTGAAGAAGAGGAGCGTCGCTGGATGTTGTAGTACGTGTGTGCACGCGTCAAAGCTCTCAGCACAGTCTCCTGCATGCAGAAGAAACGATTTGTTTTCTTGGACTAAAGAAAGTTGATGCCTCAGACGCTCGATCTGAGGGTGAGATGATTAGCGTTGCTCAGGGAGAGATTTGATGATTAAAATGAGTGCACTAACCTCGGAGGGTGACACGAGTGGAGGAAGGGTCCCGATTTTTGCAAGTACTCTGCGTAGCTCCATCAGTCCGGGAAGGAGCCAAAAAATGGAAGCCCACCTTGAGAGATGGTTCGTGTCGGGATATTCGACATCCTGGTAGATCACATCGATCTCACAAGCGGATCTTTAGGTGACGTCGCCGTTCGCACCTGCGCAATGGACTTTGACTTCCACGATGATGGGGACCAATCTTCTTGAAGCTCAGATGGAGGCATTGCGAAAAGAGCAGTTGGACGGAGAAAAGAAGGATGGACCACGGGGAGAAGTGTGACTCACGACCCACGAGCATCATTCGCATCAATGTCAGACTGCTGATCCCGTACAAGACGGTGTCATCGACAGGTCCTGGACCCGAGTCCACAGAGACATAGCCAGATGGAGGCTTCTTTCAAGGAGGCCACCGAATACCAAACGGCCCCTCCTGAATACATACGGCGTTGTGTTGTCGGATTATTGATCGGTCGATGATGCATCAAAAGCTAATCTGGGTTCGAATAAAAGATAAGATTATCTGATTCCGATACACAGGCGTTGCATGTGAGAGAGTCCATCCGACACTTCAAACTAATCAATGTGACAGGCGGCAGCCGCGTTATAGGTAGGAGGTGGATCTCTGTGGGCTATTCCATTGACCACCGTCCCCTCGACCTCTTGCCGTCCCATCTCTGTCGAGAGCAACACAGATTCAGGAGATTTCTGAGTCGAATTACGTGCCCCACTCCTTTCCGTGCGTCGGGTCGTTCTATCCCTCCGATTTCTATCTTGCTTCGTCGCTCCCGTCCGCCACTCATTGCACTCCTCTCGAGGGGTCCACGAGCGCTCATCGGTGAACCCGCTCCTCGAATCCGAGTCCTGTTGCGTCCAGGATCTCCAGATAAAGAAGCCGGCAACTGAAACTAGGATGAGCCCGAGCACCGTCGCAACGCCGATGACGGCAAAATGGGATTCTGAGCCTTGTGTAGTTTGGGTCAGGGGATCGACTGGCATGCCGTCAACGACATTCGATGAGGAAGAAGAGGGCTGGTTTTGACCCGAGCTTGATGGGAACGTCGATGGTATTGTCGTCATGGGAGGAGGAGCCCGGACTAGGACTGGTGGTTTCTGGCATAGCACGGTCGCTGAACCTTTCTGGTAATAGATAAACACTTTTCGGCACGTTGAACAAGTCTATACCGATGCTGGGCAATGCCCGAGAGGGGTGGTGAATTAGATTTGCTCGGCCTGTGTCTGCCGCCGTAGCTTTGCTGTCGCTGTCCGAATCGTTTTCTCCAATACGGTCAACCCTTATCGTGATCAATGAGTTTGGACAGCGAATGCAAGTGCCAGTAGCCTCACACGCACCCTATGATTCCGTTTTCATTTTCCCTGCGTTGCGATTCTATGCACGAAGTCCACATGATGCGCAAGGTCAAGGCTGCAAGCAAGCGAGCGAAGGTAGAGGAGATGGCACGATGAATGCAGCTATATCTCTGATAGCGGAAGGGTTTCAGCGCTTGGCAGTACTGCTTGCGCTACGCCGAAGAAGAAACCGGACCAGTCAGACCACGTTTGGGAAGACTAGATAAGCATTGGCCCTTCTGTTTGGGTCCTAGTCACGTTCATCTCCGAGGAATTGTGTAAAAGAACAGGTTCGCGTCTGAATAATGGTGGGTTCAAATTATTCGGAAAGCTGAAGCATTGCTTCATGACCTGAATTGCCAATTGAGAGAGAGGAGTACCGTTTATAAGGAGAAGTCATCACGTGATCCCCGCCCAATCGCTATTCGGCAATCAGAACGCCTTTCAGGACGGACTGTCAGCACATGGGCAATACCTTTCCGTGCATCGCACGCAATGAGTACCGGGATCCCTTGGGAAAATTAGGTGAGTACGTAGAACTCTTTTGTTTCTCTCGGCTTCTGATCCAGGGCAGCCCGACTCCTCGGAATGCATCATGATCTACATCTGGATTACCTCCAACTCGTTTGTATAGTGTAATCCAGACTTCCGCAGCACTCAGGGAAGAGAGTTTCCTGGACAACGCAAGTGAGCTCACCTATCCCTAATATCGTCCACTCGGTGTGAGATTGGTCGTGCACGAATTGAATGCGGAGAAGGTGCGATCCGAGAAAGTGGATGTGAATGCTCTGCAGAGCTGTCCAGATCGTAGTTACGACATCGACTGCGGACTACAGGCGTTTTTCTGCCAGGAATGTCAAACACTAGATCTTACTGCCATATGGCAAGCGTCAGTCTTTCCCGGTGGAGCATCGCCCTCACGATTCACGACGCAGCGGCAGATATCATCTGCCATGCGTTCCATAGATATCTTCGGACTCTCCGCTTCCTGTTCTCTGCCGACGCCGATGCCTGGCCCATCGTAATACCCGTGCCTGCTTCACTCCAAATGGGACCTATAGAGGAAGGCATTGCTCCAGTCTAGTCCACGAGATGACAGAAGCATGGACCGATACAGTTTCGAACGATCTCTTTCGCCGGCAATCCAATCCGCAAACCTCTCAACTGAGCACCTCCGTGTACATCTGGAGCCTGCTGACTACGACCCGTCGCCTTTGGTCGCATCCATGCGAGATCACGAGACAAGAGCTGGCTGGGGTAGCTGAAAATTCTCGGCTCCGTGTGCCTCCGCCGCTGTCTTCCCATCGGGTGAGTTTCGCCGCAGGACTCACGAACATCTCCACATCAACGCGCGGGGGCTAACATCCAAAACCACGTCATCGGATATTACGGCCGGCTGCGCGTCTGACCACCGCCAGATCTTCGCCCCGACATGTTCACAATCCGATTGGCGATCGGCCGAGAGATTAACCGAGGAGCTCAAAGCGGAGAGGACCGGAACCGCGTGCGTCTTGGGGCAGATGAATCTCTTTGATCATAGGGCTTGTGAGCAGGCTCAGTAACAAATCCGCGCCCAAAACGTGTTGCTTGCGATGAAGACGCGATCTTGCAGCACTAGGAAGAAAACATTGCTCTTGACGAGGACGTCGTGGACAGATGCATCCACGCCTCAGAACTTCCTGTGTACTTTGAGCAATTGGATCCCTTAGTTCCATGAACACTTTCGGAAATCGATTCGATGGAGACTGATCTAGAAGCAGAGTCGGGGAGGGCTCTAGTCATGTCGGCCCCGACCGGCTCTGGCCAAGACAACCACCCCTCCTCCCCCCTATGAACATGTCCCCTGTCCCATGCACACTACTTGCTGCGTCTCGAATCACCCTTGGAAACCCGAACAAGCGCCATCCGTGACACCAAAAAATCACACTCCCAACGGCTGAACACACAGGCAAACTATCCATTACACGCTGTCCCCGGGCACCGCGTCTTAGAAGTTGGTTCACTTGCTGCGGTATAAAAATGCGGATTACAAACCAAAAATTCTAGTCATGTGACTTGAGGTTCAAGCGAGCTTCATCCACGCGCTGGCCCAGTGACTCCACAAAATTACACATGGCCGCCAGGCAATGAGGTAAAAGAATTGGTGAATTGGCACAGGCCAAGGCTGTGTGGGGTCTACAAGGGAAATCTCGACCGTCCCTGTCGTGTCCAGACCGGGAAAGTACGACTAGGTCGTGTTCCAGAAAAACGTTACGAGAGGGATCTGCAGCGGGAATATCGTCTAGCAAGAAATGCGCGTTATGATATAAAAGTCAGGAGAAAAGGGAAGAACGAAGCCTTGAGAACGTGTAGGGTCTAGATGCACTCGACAAGGAGGAAGTGCTAGGATTTGGATGTACGGCACGTGACAACCATTGCCAGAAGCACTCTATGCACTGAGGCACTTGCTCGATGCGTGCCACCGATTGCTCGTACGACTGTCATGTGCAGATCTTCAAGCTTGATATTGGTAATGTCAAGACTGTCAGCGAACTGTTTGCACGGAAAGCAGTCATTAATTCTAGATGTACAGGGTACGAATTTACCGGTGAAAATGGAAGGAGAGAGCGAGTGATAATAAGTAGTTGGATAAATAGCCCAGTCCTTTCCAGTCCAAAGTCCGACATAATGAAAGTAAGGCTGTCAACTCAAAGCCCCGGAGGCGTAAAGTCGGGGAATTCCGGCCACAATCCCAGCTTTCCTGGATCTCCACCGATGCGGACAAACGTGGAGTGACTGGGTGTGGGACCGTCGAGGACGAACAGCTGATGCCATCCAGGAGGCGAGATGAAGGCATTCGGGGGCGCAGTGATGGTGCAAACGTTGCCCGCGCACTTGAATGCAGGGAAGATTGTGCGCGAACCCATGGTGTTTCCATGCGTTGACGAGATCGCCGCAACAAGCGAGATGCGCATATTCGCCGTGGTGCCTTGGTGCAATGTGACGGTGATCTTGTGTGTGCTGCCATACGCCCAGTCCGTGTCGTTGTTGATCGTGTAGCTCGGCTGCTTGAAGCCTTGTGTGAGGTACGGAGGGTAGTAAGCCTCGATGCGCATCTCCTCTGGCATGCCCGGGGTCTGTGGATCGGACCCCGAAACGAGCACCCGGGCGTCGGGGAGCAGAATTGCCTCCGAGTGATACATCCGTGCGACGATCGTGGTGTTCAGAATGGAGATGCGCTGAGTGGGTGGCAGCGTCGGATCGTACAGCAGCGCCTGGAAGTTCGGATCGTTTCCGAGCCCGAATCCAGCGAATCCTTGGTGTGCTCCGTTCATGATCATGAAGGTGCCGTCGGGGAGCGGAGACATGCATGTCATGACACGCTGCGAGGGCATGCGCTCAAGAAGCCACGTCGGATTCTGCGCCTCAGGCTCAATCGACACACAGTTGTCGATCGCGATACCGGCACCGGGAGCACTGCCTCCGCAGGTGAGAATGCGAACCGGATCTGTGTAGGGAGCGTGTTGCGGGAAGAGAACAGCAGCTCCTTCGAGGGGATACGTCCGTCCACCAGTGACTGGGGTTGCATAAGGACAAGAGACGAGGATCGATGCAGACTGAATACTCACAGTCATTTACAGAGGCAGGAAGGTTGGGCAGCTCCTTGATAGTGTTGAAGTTGACCGGCTCCAGAATCCGTGCCTCGTTATAATAGATGACGAAGAGGTTTCCACTGGGCAGAACGAAGACGAAAGGGTACAAGTTCCACGGATCCGTGCGCGCCAACCAGTCCAAGTTGATGACAGTATCACCCCCCGCCGGTTTGGGCAGGATCTCCAAGTTGGGCTGCGGTGCAGCATTGCTGCCGGTCTCACCGCCAATGACGAGCACGGAACCGTTGGCCAAGACAGCCGCGGTCGGGTACCAGCGTTGCCTTTGCAGCGCCAACTCCTGGAAATTCTCCTCCCAGTCGTTCGTTCCGTTCACTCCAGGAGAGCCGTCTGGCGCATACAATCGCACACCTTTGGTCGATTCGAGTGACCAGCCACCGACGTTGAGGATACGACCTGCTTTGTCGGGGAGCGTGACCGATCCAGAGCAGAAGACGTCGGACTTGACGTGCATCTCTCTCCAGGCGAGGTCGAATCGGTCCACGAGACTGAGGTCGAGCTCGTATGCGCCAGTGGAGTTGTCGAATTCCGACGTGCCCGACTTCTCGAGGAACGCGACCTTGCCGTTGATGCCGACAGTGGCGATGAGGGGCACGACAACACTGTGAGAATGTTATCGAAGTAAAAAAATTTGGGAAACAGCGCCGCGCACCCAGGGACGAGGAAGTCGTAGTATCCAATGTTGGTAGGCGTGTGCCAAACATACTGCGCTGGGCCCGTCCAGGTGTAGTACTGGATCCTATTTCCCGCTCCACAGAGATGGATCGGATCGCCTGGACACGCGAGGTTGCAGTCCGCCTCAGGCGCAAAGGTGACATTGGCCTTGGTGACATCCGACACGTCACCGCAGTCTAGAGATTGCTTGAGCGAGGAGGATAGGGAGAGAGATGAGAGACTTACAGCACTCCTCGCCGTACTCCATACCACCCGCCGTGTATCCAAAGGCCGCGCACTGGCTCAAGCATGTCGTGGCAGAGTTGTTGGTCGGGTAGATGTTCTGCCACGGGATCGCCCGGAATCCGTTAGCCTCCCTGCCAGCCATCAGTCCATCAGTTCATCAATACATCATGACAGAAGGACGGACCTGAGACAGCCTTGATATGTCCAGTTTCCTGGGATGCCTTTGGTCTGAGCGACGGGCACGGGCAGAATAGTCACATTTTTGGATGTCGAGTAGACGGACATGCGGTTTCCCGCGCCGCACTATTGGGTTTTGGTCAACATGTAAGAGATAGTCGGTGTTGAACATACAGCTTGCCTGAAAGAGGTCAGAACAAACTAATCTCATCAGTATAATAGACGTACGTTGTGTTGCCCCCACATCCCATGTTGCAGTCCGCATCAGCCGCGAGGGCAGCACCATCTATCAATTCGGTGCCGCAGACTGGACGATTCATTAGTATATGCGAAGACGTGGTGCGAAATCGGGCGCACAGCATTGAGTCTTCGAGATTTGCTTATCAGTAACTTCTTTTCATTTCCGTATTAACGTCACGCACCGAAAATTCCGCCGCAGCGACCGTCGCACCTGCGGCCGCGCAGGCGGCGACACATGATGCGATCGTCAGATTCGCATTGTCGGGCTGTTGAGTCTGCAAGATCCGTCCGAAGGCATTGTCGCTGTGGTGAACGCGTGAAAAAGGGCATCGAAGGCACAATTTGAGAAACTGACACATAGCACCCGGAATAAGACCACGGTTTCGGAAGGTTGGCGGCAATGAAGACCGGTGTGCCGGTTTGCGGTGGCGCACCTCCACCGCCACCTCCCCCGATCGGTCCGGTGGGCCGATCAATTCCGGTGTAGTTATACATTGAGAGCGCATTGGGTCCACCGCAGCTGCGAAATCCGTTTAGCCCATGGATGATTGATCCCAAAGATGAGCGAAACACACAATTGCTGACCATCTCCAGCGCACAACATATTGCACGACGCTGTAGAGATCTTCGATGCATTTACATAGATGCTTGTTCCGCAATCTTGTGTACGATCAGGTGAGACAACTCTTCGCGGATAGATACGATGTCTACTCACAGCACTGGGCGGCGTATTCGGCACCTGTCAATCCGAGATTAGAGTGAAGGAAGATCTAGTAGACGGCGCAATCACCAGAAAAAGGGTAACCCGCAGCGAAGCAGGCGGAAGAACAGGTCTCCAGGGTAAAATTTCCCGGAACAGCTATCCCGTTGGGCAGGGATCGCACATTGTCCACGTTGTCACTAAGATCCCATTAGTGGCCGAGTGACAGGAAACGGTGCCGAGACGAACCTCCAGCAGCCAAGAGACGTCCAGTTTCCCACTTGAGCGGGAATAGACGGTGGCGGAGGCGGAGTCTTTCCGTTTGTGAACACATTCAATCTGTTGCCGGCGCCGCATGTTTCGGTGGCATTCCCTGTACATGCCATGTTGCAGTCCGACAGCGTGGTGTTCGTCCCCCCGTTTTCGAAGTGATTATCGCAGTCTGCATCAGAGATGTGGAATGAGTTGTGTGATACAGTTGTATTTTTGTGCACTCACAGCACTCTTGCTAGATGCACGGCCTCAGATCAATAAAGCATCGGGGATGAGTGGATCGGACTTACGCCGTACTCGACACCAGCGTAGATGAAACTTTGGCCATCACAGAAGGCGATACACCTCTGACGGTGAACAATTTAGTTGTCTCCGGTACTCATGTTCCGGGCGACGCTTACTTGAACGGTCATTCCGGTGGTATTCGTGAACGAGGCGCCAAGAAGCGTGCGGCCTCCGGCTTGGTTGTCCGTGTAGCATCCGAGAGACGACCAGTTGCCGGACAGACCAGTCGGGACGCTCGGCGATTGTCGGCGGACGATGGATGGAATTGAAGGAAAGTGAATGCTCGAGGAGAGACATGACTATCCGGGTGGTCAGGATTTTATGATTCGGAGGGTGAACGGGAGAACGAACATGAGCGAGAGAGAGGGTGAAGACCCCAGCCAACACTGGACGAGGCACCATGGTTCGATGAGAGCTGGTAATTGAACGACGATCCTTCTTATAGTCGCTGGCACATGATCTCTCACTCAGATCTGACTGTCGATGAAAGCACCTGTCTGACTAGCCTCTCTGTTTCCGGGTTCCGTAAATTTAGCAGATCTGATTTTCATTCGAATTTGGCAGGAAACGAGACCCAGAAAACATCATCATCCCCAGGGCCATCGAGGGATGGAAAGTTCTTCGAACTGATTACGTCCATTCACGTTTGGCTCACATTTTCGGACCATGTGTTCCCTCGAGGAACAGAACAGCCGCGCAACGAACATGCCCCTGGCTCGACAGCACTGTTCGAAGTGATTGCAATATGTCCGAATAACCCGTGTATGGTTAGGAATGACGCGAGCTGTCAGAACTGCGAACAATTCTGACAAGACTCGAAATCAGCGAGCTAGGAAAGCAGCGATGTGAGATCGCGGCGGACAAACTTAAATCGCAAATACCTCGGCGATTGAGGCAAAAATCACCCAAGCGCTATGCTCTGCATTCGCACACGACTCACGTTCCTCGTCGTAACTGAGGAGATTCTCACGAAAACGCTAAGCAGACACTGGGCATCAGATGTACGAGGAACGGCGATTAGACAGAGACAGATCTCAGCTAACCACATGCTTCGTTGTTTCACTGCTCCGAGCTATGATCATCTTGCTTTCCAGAGTGCAAACTTAATAATGGGCCGTGCGCCACGGAATGCACCGACGGAATTAGACGGCATTCGGTGTTATCCTCACCGCATATCTACGCCTCAAGTCCAGAGTGGACACGGAGCGCTCTCTGCGCGACACATCTCATTGTCGGCGAGATATCATTAGACCGAATCAGAGCAGGTGCCTGCCACACACTGCCTGCCCAACTGCTCAACGCAGAGAGACTTGCATGCACCGGTAGGAGATTCGGTGTCAAATCCGACGCGGCACCAATCATTCCATCGACATGAGACCTGGCCGAACTTGCGTCTCCATGATCCAACGGCGCCTAGCTGCGGAGACCCACGGGGATTGGAAGCCGCGGTCGCGCCTGGACGCCCGAATCAGCTTCTCGGGCCGACGCAGAAGCAAGGATTGGCATCAAAAAGGTCGAGAAACTGTTGGAGATAAACACGCCGTACCTGGACGATGACAGTTCCAAAATGCATCCTGTCAAGCGTTTTTGACCTGGCAGGTATTTGCTCCGGGACCGGACTGCTCTTCACTGATGACGAACGACGCGGGAGGACCTGGGCTGGTCCCGAGTATTCCTTGCGCCACCGCCGCCGCCGCCCTATGCATCGTGTGCTGTGGGGTCGGCCTTGGATGGAATACGGGTGACGGAGCTGAGCACGTAAGCTCGTCGCGCACCGATCAAAAGCTTGTTTTGCTTTCCCGGCCCGGTGACAAACACGTTTCTTTGACGTAATCCTTCACACAGCGATGGCCTGCATGGAATAGGGGCTCTAGTCATCCGTTTGACGGTCGATCCTGGGCTTCTCGAGTTCTCACTCTATGAGCGAAATATGACGCGTGCAGTTTTTTTTTAGGTTCGTCTGCAGTCTCTTTCCGTTCTCCAACGAAGCGCTCTCTTTTCACCTCCTCCCCAACTGGTGCTGTTTCTTGCCTTGAGGCCGGCATCCACGGATGCAGATTCTGATGAGACTGCACGGGGCAGGGAATGGCCGCAGTTAAGTTAATTTTAAAAGCGTATGGATCTATGCGGCCCGAGCGTCCTCGAGTCCCACCTCCGGGATTATAACGCCTCCCGTAGATCCTAACGCCGTGAAATCCCAACCTCCAGGGAGCTCGCCATCTCTTGTTCGGAATCCCAGCGCTGGATTCCTCCGCTGGAACATTGAATCACCGAACGAGCCACAAAGTCTAGTCGATTGGGGTTGACACTCCAGTTCTTTTTTTGTACAACACTGACGGTCGGAGATGAATGAACCTTAAATTCTCCACGACATTTATGTCTCGGCCTGTATATCACACCGAGACGCCTTCTGACCGGGGTATCCAAGAACATCTTGGACACGAGGTGTCCGGTCTGCATCTCCGTTGAGCGTCGGACGTCGAACATCGAGACTGCCAAATGTTGTTCATTCAGTGAAGGACTAATGGATCCTTTTGATCACGTCTGTATCCCCGTGTTTTGCTCCCGACCCGCTGCTAGGTATGAGTCGCGGAGCGTCGCGCCCATGCAAATCAGGTGGACAAGGAATCACTGATATCATTGATTGTATCATGTGGCAGTGTAGAGCCTGTCTTTGACTGTCACCCAGCGGCTCTATCCAACATGCACTCGAGCTCGACATACTTGGTCTCTACTTTGTGTTCGCTACACGCGCGCACAAGCTTGGGGGAAAAAATCTCGTCTCCTCTTGCCCGCCCTTCCAATGCATTTACTCGCGACCCCATCAGTCGTGCACCACAGATTGTAACGACCGGCATCATAGAAACCCCCGCCCTGTGATTGAAAAAGGCGTCGTGAAATATGGTCCATCGCTCATTCACCCAGAGATGCAAGTATGGATGCTCAGAATCGTTGTCAACGAGATACTATGATTTCTAGGCGCATCACTCCCTGCAGATTTGTGCAGTCCCTTGCTCCCGTAGATGGAAAATGCTAGTGTCGCAGCATCCGCTGCAAAACGGCTGTCCCTTGTCTTTCCGGCTAGAGCACAAGTTGGACCAAAAGGGATGCAGGGGCAGTGGGGTCGGAGCAGACGAGCGACGGCCTCGCGCTTTGGTGTCCGACCAACTGACTAGGTAGGTCAGAAGCAGGCCCCTTCTTCGCAGGTTTCGAGATCTGTTTTCTCGACCGCGAAGCTTACCGAGCATGGACAGCTTTCTCGTGTATCATGACCTGGAAGAGCTCTAAAGTCCGAAATCTTTTAGCAATTCAGGGATCACGGGCACTTTCTGCCATCTCAGGGCCGCGGCGGACTCGAGTTCGAGACGCGCGAGAGAAGTTACGTTGGATCCTCCATTTAAATTCGTCCAAAGCCGTAGTCCGGCGGATAAATATTCCGTTTCTCAAGGCCGTTATCGGCGGGAAGGGTGAAGAAGCCGTACTTGACGAGGTAGAATGCTGTGTCTCGGGCATCAGATTCCGCACTGTGCGTGCCATGTTTTCCTCGTCACGCCTTGTGCGGTCGGTTCTCGTCTATCAGTCCGTTCGCTTCCAACGAATCTTTCTGCCCCGCGCTAGTCAACAACTTCTTGGCCTGGAAAAAGACAGATTTCTCTTGTAGCGGTGTCGGTGGGGGTTTCTACGGCGATTCAGAGATGATGTGTCACGAGCATGAGGTGGAGCATCATCACACCATTTGCCAGCACACGCCACTGCTAGGTACGGCGGCGCAAGCATCGACACGACTGAGACTGAGAATTAATCCGGCAGAAGCGGCGTATGTCTGTGCCGTACACTACTCGTGCAGAGCGCTTGTTACCTATGAAAACAGACGATTTTTCCATCTCACGCGAGATTACTACGACTGGCAGAGGTTCGTGGATGTACTGGGAAATAAATCATCTTACGGATATGTTTACCCTCCTCTCTGTAGACCCAGTCCCGAAATGTGCTCCTTAACTGAGATGCGGGTCCGGAGGAATCGGCCCGCGTGTTTCTGTGCCAGCTACCTCAACCTAACCTTTCGACAAGCTGACAGTCTCTAGCACTGACTGCTCCACTCACTCTTCCGGCATGCCTGTCGCCCTTTTCCATTGTGTTGAACACACACGGTCATACCGCTCGGCGTGAGCGCACATATCAGCACAAGAAGTAGCGCGAAAGTGCCGGTAGGTCTAAGAAACTCACAATCTTTAGATGTTCACGTAACGCGATGGATTCGGGCGGGTCGAGGTCGGACAGAGCTGCGGACTGGGCATCGGCTGTCGCCGAATCTCTGAAAGCTTCCCATTGATAGCACGGATGATAGATGACTGTTCGTCAGTCTGAGGGTTATTTGTATAACGGATTCAGCGATTCTAACCAAGCTGCCGACCGTTCACTCCATTCGGTCAATGCTGGAACCCCCAAACCCCAAGAAGAACTCATATTCATGCGGTTTCCTGTTGGCGTCGTTCTGAATGATTTTGCTAAAGGTTCCCAGCAGGATGTATGCGCGCACTCACGGCGAAAGTCGGTTCTAGAACATGTCTGATGAACTGGAATCATTGCACCGGGCAAAGTTCCCGAACGCTGTACGGAAAAAAGCGCTGACTGACGTGCAATACTTGTGAGTCTACGTAGCCAACAGCGTGGCTTTCCACCCCACAGTCGTTACTAGCGATGAGCTAGACTCGTTTCTATTGTGCGCAATCTTTCCCGGCTACCCTTTGATCGTCGATGTGCGGAACCACTTGTCCCAAAATATCTTTTGAGGATGTCGGGCTCGGCTTTCGTCTGTTATCACAGGAAAACAAGCGGAATTGCTCTCAAAGTTCTCCTGGATGAATTTACGTATCCTTCCCGTTCCGGTCCACTGCGCGTGCCGCAAAGGCATAATCGAAGAGGCAGATTACTCCGACCACGGGCCTCGGTAGGAGGACGCTGAAAGTACTCAAGTTGACGTTCTTTTCTGTTCTTGGTCTATGAGTCAGGGTTTCGTACAGCAATTCAGACAACAGCGATTTTGAGATTCTTGGTGCCAGTGGGTACTGCGCAGTCCAAAGTGTTCTTTTGGTATCGTAGCCAGCAGATGCCAAGAAGGCGACTGTTCGGTTCCCTAATCCTCGGGATGCACCTGCGAAAGATTGGCAGTCTCAGTATCTTCCTCAATTATGTGATCCGCTTCTAGGCATTGCAAGAGTCCTTATGGGTGTGGTAACATTGGGTACTAGTTCCTAGGGAAATAGCTGACATTGGTACTGGAACCTGGTGCACGTGTCCAGATCTGTATTGTAAGCATTATCCTGTGAGACTGGTTGCAACGTCAGAGTTGGACTCCTTGTCCCTACCAAGATCGGAAAATCTCGTCACACATCTTCTATGACAAAGGGTAGGCCACCGGGCTACATTTCACGTTGGTTAATAGACTCTGCAACCCTCATGACTGAACAAAAGCCGCCGCGAACAAAACTATTGTCAGCGCTGCTGCTGATGCACTCCCCCCACAACGAAAGCACACTTTTGTTTGCGACACCAGTAGGCCCGCTGGGAGCGCAGAGTCAAGTCGCGCTGTGTATATGCCTTCTGATATCCGTAACTATCTTGCGGGATCTCAAAATACTGGGAGCGTAGTATCAAGATAAAAATTATTTGTATGGTTTGAGCGCTGATTAGATACATCCGTCTATCGGACAGGACATCAGTAACATATATCCGAGTCGGACACGACAACGTCGCTCACTCGGGACCGCCTTGCCCGCGGCATTGACATGCGTCTTCAACGTGCTGCTCCCACAGAGCAGACCGCGCACAAAGCCCTATCTATCTTATCCGTGTTAGAGTAAAGCTGAAACGGAAGGGGAAAGTACAGGAATCAGAGAGGTTACTGACTACAACGGGATGTCCTCTGTCTCGCCCAGGTCATCATAGACGTTACCCTCAGTCCTCACACTAGACACTGTCTCTTTCTCTACGACCAGCGGCGGCGGAACCTCAATGCTCTTCGGCTCAACGGCCACATCCGCAGCATCCGAATCTTCAGCGCCGGCACTTTTCGGAGACGTAGGTGGGAATTCAAACTCCATGTTCATCGTCCCGGTCTTGCTTGCCCGCTTCCCCATCAAGTCGATTCGTTTCGCCTCCAGCTCGGCCACGTCAGTTTCTTCATCCTCCGAGCGAGCTTCTTCGACAGTGACGACCGGCGCGGTTGGTGGTGGGGTATTGCGGGCCGACTGTCCTATGAAGGTCGCGGGCTGGCCAATGAGCGAGACGGTCGGTGTCATCGACTGTCGCGCAGCGGCTGCGCTGGCGGGTGAGCGTTGGGTGGGAGATGCAGCAGACATGGACTGTGGGCGCTGAGAGGGTAGCGTGTTCGGTGGTGTCGCTCCTAGTCCAAACTGCGCGATAGGAACCAATCTACAGCCACAATGAGCTTCCTGAACAAGAGAAAGCGCCAATTCACGTACCGACGCTCAGACTGGCATCCAAAGATCCAATGCGGCTGGACGATAGGTATGCTCAGCTGCACAGCTCGCTGATACTCGACCTCAGGCACGCCAGTCGGTGTATGCGTATTCGGTGTGGTGCATACGAAGTGCGTTGTGCAATCTCGATCTTCTCGCTCCACCGCGCACCGATGCGCTGTAGGGCCTCCTTGGCCTGCTCAACGAGCCCTGCGTCGTCGACTGTTCCGAAGCATACGCGTACGCCAGAGGTGTCGATCATGGTGTTCGTGTGCACGCGCAGCAGTTCCGAGGAAATGTCCCCGCCGTCGTGCGCAGGATAAGCTGGAATGTGTACTCGGTGTCGAGCTCCAGCCCCGAAATCTTACTAGAAGTGTTGGTCGCCGGGTTTGGGATCGGTGCGAGGCGCTGCCCGTTGCGGTAAAGGTCCAACGTTCGCCATTTGGCTGTGACCAGTTCAATGGGGGGCCACTCAAGGGTCACGGACGTCTGTGTCACATTGCGCAGCTGGGGGCAAGGAGGTTATGAGCATACATTCATTTCTGCAAGAACAGACTGCGCACTTGGAGTTTCGGTGGCTCAGGCGTACGCACTCCAAACTCTCCGTGTATCTCATCCTGCAGCACCCAAAACGCGTCGTCTCTCCTCTTCTCTTCGGCGTGGTTCTGTAGGACGGAGATGTTGACGATGGATCCAGTGGTTGCACCGGGAGGAAGGAGGACGGAGGGGAATTCGATTAGGTGGGCGCGTTCGCCGAGAAGGATCTGGTGAGCGGCAGTGTAAACGGTGAAGCGACGTGGATCATTACTCGTACTGCCATTCCTGCGTCTATGTATGAGTGTTCAGCCCATTTCTTGATGATTTACGCAGGTCAAGTACCTAATTTCCCCACGGTGGACGTAAAGTGGTCTTTGTCCATCGTGGTCGGCGCGTAGGAAGATGTGTCCAACCCTAACCTTTCGTGGTGCTAAAACTAATGTGATGTGGCCTGGGCACCGGACGGTGAGAGGGAGAGGAAGGAAGAACTCACCTGCGGACCTCATCCCTCCATCCGCGTCCTTGGAACACCGTATCTAATTCAATGCTCTCTACCACCACGAGACATCCCTCGGGGTTAGGGTTAGGGTTTAGGGTTAGGGTTAGGGTTAGGGTTAGGGTTAGGGTTAGGGTTAGGGTTAGGG